CTGTATGTATTATTCGCTTTAGTCATAGTTCTTCATTTTATTGGAACTTCGAGAGAAGGCATTGATATTGTTATTATGAGCTTTATATTACGCTTAGATTTCATCTATACCTGTGAGTGGTGAATATTTGTACGTACATCAGTTTGAGATACTTCAGTATGAAAGGCGCTTTATAAAATAGAGGTTGTTATAACTCGAATTTCGCCTCCTGACTTGACTGGAGCAGACCGGCTGGTCACGCCTTTGCCAGACCTTTCGACTGCAGCAACTGCAGCTGGCAGAAGTGCAAAACACGAGTCATGGCAACATTTTGCTGCTAATTAATCTAAACATAGCATCTATCTCCATAGCCTCACCCAATGTTAGTCATCTATCGCATACGAAAAATTGTATTCCGGTGAGCAAAAAAATATTTAACAATAACAGGGAAAGTTCTGATTAATTTATACTACTTTTGCACCCACTGGAACGGAAATGCTTGATTTTTTTTTTATTCATTTGTCTTATCTGAACAGCAGAACTGTTTCAACCAATCCATGAATTTGGCCCCTAGATGTAACTAAATGTTACCATGGCTAAGCTAATGGCATTGGTTTCGATGTTTAAAGGTGCAGTAGAAGATGATTAAAGCTGCGTGATAACAATTGTAGGCTACTCAGAGCTCAAATAAAAATCTTCGCGGAGGAGACAGGATGTATATGCCGCCATGTAAAGCGAGTTCAAGTTAAACTAAACTAAACCATTTTTTATTTTACCAGATAAGGCCCACTGAGCTATATAGCTATTTTTTTCAGACGCGAGCTGGCCACAAATCATAGCTCAACGAAGTGGCATATCATGTGGAAATTTATATCCGCCAAATACTCTACACGCAATGTGCAACCGTGCACCTTTGATGCGGAGGGGTGAGAGAGCAGTACTTTTCAGGAAGGGTTTTTGAAATGTGATTTTATGGAGAGAGAAAAAAAAGTGACATTCCGATTTGGCTACACTACAAAGACAAGGCAATGCATTTGGAATAATAAAGCGTGAAAAATCCTTCACGTTTCCCTTTTACATGAGAACCCCAAGCATTGCCGTGACAATTGAGTGTGCAGGCGATGAAACTGCACCACAGCTCATGGGCTGGATGGGCCCAGGTTGTGGGCTATGCAGAGGAGAGAAATTGGTTACGACCCCCATGTTATTTCTTGCACCATGGCCCATGCCAACCATGTCACACCACTGCCCCCAAGCCTCATGGTATATGATTGCACATTTGCAAGCTTGAGACCTGTGTAATGTAAATGGATATTGGAGAACTAGGCGTTTAAACCATAAACAAATAGGCATGCATCCATTTACCTCCGTTCCCACATACAGTACTGGTTCGAAGATTTGTCAAGATTCAGGGTTGCATGTCGGTTCACTGAGCAGTTATATACTTTACCTCATTTCCGAGATCTCGTTTGTAATGTTTCTTATTTATTTGGTCTTGTATAGTTTAACACGTAGGCGTTCGCGACCAATATCATCCATAATAGAGCTTTTTTTGAGTTAGATCGCGTAAATATGTAAATGTTTCGTTAAAACCCACCACCACACGACACAGCTAACGAGTAAGGGTTGTCACGTAAACAGAACGTGGCCAATTCGTCACTAGTACAGCACACCGGTGTGTTGGAGAGCCAAGCCACAACATTTACGATGTGTCGGGTGGTGGCTGGTTTTAAAGACATTTATATATTTACGCGATCTAACCCACAAACCTCTATAGTGGATGGACTTGTATAGTTTTGTCTGCTTCATGACCTTGCATGTAACTTGAGCGTGTGATTTGCATACATCATAAATCAACAATTCTCACACGTGCAATCATGAGCAACTGGGCGCTGGTTGGCTATGCACGTGGTCTGTCATCCAGCACTGTGGGAGTGAAAGTTGGTGGATCACTCAAATACTCTTTGGTTCTTTCGGTAAAGTCACGTAGTTAGAAATACAATATTTTATTCAACTACGTGACTTTACCGAAAGAACCAAAGAGTATGGATTCCTGCAGTCACGAAAGCTTCAAATCAAGATTGGATCACTCAAATGTTGTGAAATGCCCTTCCCGTGGGCGTCGAGGTGCCATACCCTGGCTTGCCAGGAGGAGGTGGTACAGAAAATGTGAACTCCATTTGTACGGAATAGAGTGTTTCCCCCTTGCACGCGTGCTCCGGCTTTCTCCCACGTGTAATCACTCATTGATTCGCTATTAAAACCTTTATAGAGGACCACAACGCTAGGAGGGGTGGATCGTTTATCTCTTGGCTGCTTCCTTTGATACTTATCTATGATTCCTCCCACCTTTGAAAGTCAGCAAACACTGCGTGGCGTATTAAAATCACAGAAAGAAGAAGTGCATTTTATTCAATGAATAGTCACAACCCTATTAGGTAAGGTGTCAAATGAGTCAACCGCGGGCAATAATTGTATGAATTGCCACGATTCAGGGTCACGGTTCAGGGTCACCTCCCCAGCATCATGAGGAAAGTAGCACTCACCTTGCAGATAATGCGTCACAACAGGAAGCATTAACGCGAATGACGAGTCCAAATCAACTGCGTTCGGAATGGAAACATTTTGGAAACGAGTTAGGGGAACTGTTAGTATTGTATTAGACAACAATACTAGCGCATAAGCGCCAGCTCACCGTGTAAACTCAGGCACGTGTTCGTCTATTGAAATGTTGCGTGGTGGGAGGTTCCATGTGTGCAAGGCAGAGGCCAAAGCCAAGAACAAACACACTGGGTGGCATACAGTATTTCGTTTAAAAAAAACACATGGACGGTTGGATAATGGCGCAAGAACTCGAGTTTGAAAGTCTATATGCATTCTGGATTTGAAGTTTTCGTGACTGCAAGGATCCATACTCTTTGGTTATTTGGGTAAAGTCACGTAGATGAAAAATACAAATAATAAAATGAAAATAACTAAATTAAATCACGAAGTTTCGGAGGCAACACAAGCTTCCGTCATCAGGTGGAACAGCCACAGCAAAATTACAGGTTTATTTTTATTTTTCATCTACGTGACTTTACCGAAAGAACCAAAGTCTATATGCAGTCCTACATTGAAAGAAAGTTTCATCGCAATTCCTACTCTGGATGTTAAGTGGTGAATACTGCTATGCAATGAATGAGTAAAAATAAGTGCTTCACTATTTAATCTATTTATTACTTTGTATATGGGGGCGCGGTAGTGTAGTGGTCTGCGTGCTATGCTACGAACCCAGCGACATGAGTTCGATTTTCGCTCAAGGACGACAGCAGTGACGATTATCTGAACCGATCCTGGGCCTCACCTAGGTCGACTCAGCCTCTAATGAGTGCCTGGTGCAGTGTGTAAACATGGTCACTGGGGAGACAAAGGCAGCCGGGTGTGGTGCTGGCCACCCACCACCCCCTCGTGTGTCGTGCTGGCCTTTATAGGTGGTCACCAACACTTGCCCCAACAGTATGTTGTTAAGGCTATACGGGGGATATTTGATTTGGTGGTGAAATGTCACGCGTGTTCTCGTTTTGTATAATTAACACACTGAGACACATTTTATCTGGGACAAAATACCCACACTTATATGAGTGTCAATCACAACCCATAACACGACTTTGGCATTTCACATAAGTGTGTATGTAAAGGTATGAACTGTTTAAATGCTTCAGGTGGTGACAATTAATTTCTGCAAAGTACAGCAGAGATATTATGGGCCGTCCATAAATGACGTCACGCATCTGGGGGGGGGGGGGTCAGAATCCATGCAATTCCCCAAGGAGAGAGACACCGCAAACTCCAAATATACAGCAGCAGGCATCGTCAGGGTCTGGATCTAACTCACGACCTCCTGTGTCCCAGGCGAGGTAGTTAACATCTCAAAGCCACCGTGATGATGATGAGAGAGAGACACGCAAACTCCAAATATACAGCAGGCACGACCTCATGCGTACCTGGCGAGGTAGTTAACATCTCAAAGCCACCGTGGCACGTATATATATCTATAAACACACGCACACACACACTGGCAATACAGTAAGTGTTGTTACCCCAGCACGTTGACGCTGCTTAAAGCCCTTAAAAGTTCAACAACGCGAACCGGAATGACTGGATCTTGTCGTGAGAGAGAGAGAGGTGGGTCCTCGTCACCCGAACGTGTCGCCTCTCTCATCGCAGCGCCACAAGCAGCCGCGGTCCGTCACCCAACACGAAAACCCCCCAAAAAAGTGCATTCAACGTCGCCGCGACCGCGCATCTTGACAGGATGGACGATGAATTGGCCGACGACGATGAGACGAGTGAGTGCGACCACCGATTCAAGGGCGGCGAATGTGTCCGTGTGTCTGTGAGTGAGTGGGTGTGTGTGGTTTTATTAAGAATCGAGGCTTTCGTAGAGAATGGAAGAATTCCAGATTTGAAGCTTTCGTGACTTGCACGGATTCATACTCTTAGGTTTTTTCGGCAAAGTCACGTAGGTAAAAATGAAAATAAATAAGAAAAATAATAGAAATAATAATATTATTTAACATTTCTATTATTTTTTATTATTTATTAATGCAAGAACTTGTTGAGAGAAAGAGAGAGCCGCGGGCTTCCTCATCATCATCATCACTCGGTCCAGGGATTGGGAATAGGAGGTCAACACGCGCCGTGTCTTTATCGAGTGGCCCTCCTCCTCCTCCTACTCCTCCTCATCCCACTCACATCTCCACGGTGTTTTGTTCACGAGCAAAATGCGATACAAATCGAGTCGCTGGTGTAGTTGGCATCGCCACCCACGGCAGCCCTCCCCTGATGTGCCCGTGTCTTGCGTTGCCGTAGAGTCGTAGACCGAGCGACGCATTGCCAAACATTATTGTTGTTATATTGCATGCAGTTAAGGTGCGGCTTTGGGCAACATCTTTGTACATATTTGTGCCTATCAGCGGGGGGGGGGGGGGCAAACGAGCAAATAAACTTGCGTGCGTACAGTCACCTCATGGCCAATGCTTCGGTGCCGTGGCTAAATAAAAATAAAGATTGCGACAATGTGAATCGATAGCCGATTTCACATTCGGTGAAAAGAAGGCAGCGTGGGATTAATAACGCGACGATTTGCTCGGAATGCCCCTGCAAAGTTTACCGGGTCCACGATCGCCCCTTGCATGTCAAAGGTCGTTCCAAGCTGCCGTGTTTATGGCTCTGGAAGGAGTAGCCTGCTTCTGTGCTCGAGGCTACACGGCACCCATCGAGATTGCATCTCTCTCTCGGTGCCTGGGCCACCCGGCATCAATCAGTTGTATCGCTCACAACGACGAGAAGAAGTAAGTGTACAATAATGTCCTGCGTTCGTGTTTATCCTGCAGTCTGTTCTCCGAGAGCGCGTGTTTTTTTTGATATAACGCGATGAATGTATTCGGGGGAACACATTTTCCTTTTTTGTGTATAACGTGGATGCGAATTGGATATAACGCGGTGGAGTGACCATAACTCCGTGGCGGCGAGGAGGAGTGAGCGATTGTTACGGCATCATCACACAAGGCGGGATACTGCTGGATGCTTCTAGATGCTACCCACGCGCTTCCAGTCTTTGTTCAGCCTGTGTGTTATCGCGGACTGTCCTTTTACCCTATATTATATGTTATTTATTATAACGAGATGTGTCCATGACGCGGTGTTCTTCGGGAACTCAACTACCGCGTTATAGGAGAACAGACTGTTACGTGATTTTTTTTATTGTACTTGTGACACCACATGCAGGCCTGTTTGCAAGCCGGTTTCATGTATGACTGTATGTATGAATGTTGAACTTCGTACGAGCCAACTGCGATAATCAGCTGTACGGGGGAAGCGGTTCTAAATAAATTATTATTCCGACTAGATTTAAAAGCGCATAACTCCAGGAAGGAAGAGCGTTCCAGACGGCCGCTGTCAGCAAATTTAGCTGTCAACTAATGGCAACGCATGGTCTGCTGGCCTCTAAGTGACGTCCATTCCCCCGTGTCAGAGCTCTCAAGGCGCACGAATTTGGTGTGAGATTGACGCATTTAGCAGGGTGCTCGCTGTCTCACCCTGACGCAGGCAAATCTCACGCGGGCGTGGACATTAGTAGCACATTAGCAACACAATTAAAAATTACCTTTGCCCAGGAGGCAATACATGCCTGACAGTGTAGTGCAAAGATGGTGTACAGTGCTTAAACATTATTTTATTTGACCAGGTAAGGGCCAACTAAGCTTTATAGCTATTTTACCAGATGCGACCTGATAGCTCAACGAAGTGGCTTATCATGTGGCAATATATAGCAGCCAAATACTGGATGTACCCTCCACAAATCAATGTGGAGGGTAAAACTGGTGGATCTGGAGAAAAATCCACTCGACCATGAGGAGAGAGATATGCAAACTTGAAATATACAGGCATCAGGGCCGGGATGGAACCCACTACTTGCTGTATACCAGGCGAGAAAGTTAACATCTTGCCACCTTCTGAGGTACAAAATACACTGGTACACATCATGGGAATAAGAATATCTCGCCGTAACCGGGAAAGGGGACAGCTGATTGTTAATGGATTGGCTTTCGTGGTTTATTATTACGCTACCGACAAAAAACTGAATTCATAATGTCATGGAAATACTTTTACATTTCCAAACCACCTGGCATATAAAAAAAGACGATCCTGGGTAAACCAGGACAGATGGGGCGACCCTCCTGACCCTCCGACTACAAGGGGTCCGTGAGACGAATAAGACTGAATGCCATAATCCCTTCACGTCCGCGTCTTTTCAATTGTCTCTCTGGAATTATATTTGACACTTTTCTCGCGTTGGTATTGGCTTTCTTAGTTGCTTCTCTAGTTTGTCTGGATGAGAGGACAGTGCTGAGTCAACATGAGCACCTAGCTCTCTTTCACATGCTGTTTCTTCAAGTTCCATACCCATCTCATTTCATATTTTATTTGAGAAATATTGTAAAAGTCACATAAAGTGCCTATTTCGTCGTGTTTATGGAAATCCAGCTGGCATTGCAAAAACTGTTTTTTTTCATGCACAAAGATGCTCGGATGGTTTGTTTCGTATAAAATGTTAGGCGTGGTCTGCACATTTTTGTGAGGTATTGGGTATAGCATTGCACTGTAGTGAATCATCGATGGTGCAATGATACGTGTCTGTGTTTGATTATGTGTTAACAGAAATTATAAGATTTATGATACGTACATTTTGTTTATGCTTTCTGAAAATTCCTCCGAATAAGAGCAGTCAATGTTTGGGCTTGGTTAGACTTTCCAACAGATAGGACAACTCCCGAAAGTGTGCCCTTGTGCGTACGTCATATGCACCGTGTGTAATGATGCAAATACACATACACTGGGTTGTCATTAAGAAGCAAAAGTTGAGAAATAACTTAGTCATATCGAAATAAACAAGTAGATAATACAATTAAAATTGTCCCTCTACATAACAAATGAAAGTATTATTGTGCATCCCATAGGATTTCTTAATCCAAGGCTGTTCAACATAAAATACATAACTCAAAATCACCCTGTTTGTATTCAAATTAGTTGAGTAACTTTTAGTTTCTTCAAATATTCATTTTAATAATTTATAAAGCGCAGAATCAGATTTGTGTGCTCTGATTAATGCGTTGTTTTTTGACAGTAACATCCTGATTTATAAATATAACGTAGATGCAATCCATCGCTTGTGGTATCATCATCAACAAAAATGGCCCGTCCACTGTTGAATTAAGGCTTCCCCTGAATAAAGGCCTCCCCATAGCAATTCCAATACTCATCTTGCGATGCTCCAATCCATCTCTTACGGAAGAGTTTATCTCATCCCCCCACCTCCACAGTGGTCATCCTCTTGGGTGTCTTTTCTACTTTACTTTGACAGCCATTCCATCAGCAGTCACATCCATCAACTTGCATTCCTTCTAGCGATGTTTTCTGCCCAAGGCCATGTACTTTCCAGTAACAGGCAACATGGTGGCTCCCATATGATTTTTCCTTTATCCATGTCTTTTTTTGCAAAATGTATGTGTAATTCCAAGTCTCTATATCTGGACCTATCCTACATATCATATCTCGCAAATTTGTCGGTGTCCATGTTGCATCGATAGAAAAAACTTTTCCTTATTCACATGGGTATTTTGCATTTCATGATCAGGTTCAGTCTTCCAAAAGTGCTTCATCCTGTTTCCATTTGATAACAAGTCCACCCTAAATAATTGCCCCAGTATATACATTTAAAAAATAGTGTCTTATAGTCGTCGCACCATCAATATTTTTTTGTTTCGCGATTTATTTTTAATACGTCACCTTTATATTGCTCATTTATCGTGAGCCCTACTTTTCAGCCTTTAAATTTCTATTGGAAATTATTCATATTGTTATAACAGCATATTTTGAAATTAAAACATAAACTCCTTCCTAAATTCAAGTATTTAACGACAAACAAATGGCATATAAAGTTCTTGCTAGCACGTAGTATATATGTTTTTTGGAAAGATATATGCTTAGTAAATAATTGCATTTTAGGATCATGATAAATGATGATGGCTTGGGCAGGGCTTCATCCAGCAGTGGATTGATCATGCCTGACGATGACAATGATAGACTCTACGAATACATTTGATTTAAATAAACGGAACTCATTGGAATGAAAAGTGAATTGGAAACTTGGTAACAGTGAACTTAATATTTCATTGTTGGGTTAGAACTGACATCTTAAAACTGACATTTTGACACCTACTGCAGTTGACATTTTGGAAATGTCAAGTCCCCACACAGGAAATGTATGTCTACCCATCTAGCAAGATCTCAATAACGTCCCTCCCCACCTTTTGGACTCATGCGCTTAACCTTTGAGAATGCGACTTCAACCCTGATAATGCTTGGAAAGCCCAATGAAGTTCACAAGAAGTCACAAACTCCTCGTGAAACATCCGATGCAGAAGATCCCTGGCTTTGATCTTCCACAAAGCTTATGGACCACCCTAAAACCACATCGGCACAAAGCATGGCAGATGCCGATACTTGATGCACAAAGTAAAAATTAAAAGGCTTCACTTGTGCGACTGTGGTCACCCAGAACGGACCATGGAACATACAATGATTCAATGTCCGATTTACAAATACAAAGGAGGCATCGCAGCGATAAACTCGGCTACTCCTGAAGCAATTATCTGGCTCAACCAAATAAATGTAAAGTTATAGGTGTTGGTCTACACATATATCAACCATACGAAGAAAAATATTAAGGATGTCAGAGCCCTGGTGCATGTATCTGATACTGGAGCATCATTCCATTCGAACACAAACCAAAGTCTAGAAAAACTCACCTGAGGGGTTTCAAGCCCACTCGGTTCAAACACGCAAGTTATTTTTTTTCTGAAAAAAAAACATCCTTTGAGGGGTTTACAACTTCCGGCGTTTCTAAATTTTCACATATCTACTCCGACTTGTATTAAACTAAAGATCCCAGTTTTTAAGACGAGTACATACCTATGCAACAAATAAAGCATCTTAAAAAGAAAGTTGCATGCAGAATGTGAGAGGTTACCATCTGGTACAGAAACCGCACATCACAAAGTTGAATCATTATCACATTGTCAAGATGGCATAAGGTCATGCGCATTCAAATGGTGGGGAAAACAGTGAAGATTTTTTTTCTAAAAATAATGATCTTTCCATAGTTTTTTCAACACCATACCTCACAGCCAAAGCAAATGTTGAATTCGTAAGCCACATATGGTACGCTAAGTATCCAAAAAGATCTTATCTCATCTAGATTTATATAGCACTTTAACAGCACCTTAAGTTTGCCAAGGTAATATATTTTTCGTGTTTTATAACAGTTGGTATTTTTTTTTATGCAACGAAGTGAGGTTAAGGTAGTTTCATATGTGCCATCGTAACAAAGTAACCCAAATCCCACACGCACGTTCATGACCACTCTGCTCCAAGCCAGTGTCACTGGAAGCACATCCAGTCATATTTTCCTACGTATGGTGCAAAAGAAGTTCAACATACATACAATAATTTCGAATGCCACTTTAGAGCCCCGACAGAAATCCCAAACTCTCACATCCAAACATTATTTTGGTAAATTTTTTGTTGATATGAACAACATCTTGGGATGTTTTTTTGGAGCCCCTCGTACCCGAGTAATTTGGCGCAAACGGAGTAACAGTAGCAACAAATACAATTTCAAAGGTGGTTAATGACTTGTGCAGGGACTTGACAGCAGAAGTGTTTTACTACATTTTGGAAGACTGGTCCCTCATGTTCTGACAGCAATCATAATACTATACTACCCGCACCCCCCACAGGTTAAAGTGTTGGTCTGAATGTCAAAAACAACTTGTCACCAACACCTCGAATAGCAACTTGCCATAAGTGAGTTAAGCACTTCTAGAATGCATGTCTCGAAAGCTCTCTTCATTCCGAGTTTCTACACATGATTATAGCGTCTACGTGATCTTTCTACTCAAGGGGTAACTTTTTCACTTCAGGCTGACATTTGTGAAGTCAGAACTTGAAGGGAATATATGTTTTTAAAAAATAATGACCAGAATTCTTTGAACCCAGTGAGGACAAACACCCCCGGCTGAAAATTTCAAACAAGGTCTGATATGGTCTATTAACAAAATGACCCTTTTCTGATTGAGTTGGCATGGAATGACCCAGTAAAACTTTCCATGAGACTTTTTTTCCACAGGGAATCAGTGGCCATAGATAACACTGTGTAACAATTTTTTTCCCTGGGTAGTAAGTGTTATTTCCTAGTTGCTTATGCCTCAAAAGTACAGAAAATGGCTATTATTCCCCACAAACTTTGCTTTTGTGACCAGGACAGTAATATTTTTAAATGTATCTATTTTCAATGAGAAAACTGCCAAATTTGTGTCTTTTTGCATCTTTTCGTTTACATAAAGTCAGAAAAAACAACATATGAATCAAAATTAACATGTATGTATACTAATGTAATACAAAAATGACGACAAAAGATTTAGAAGTGAGTATTTTTTCGAGATTTACGATTATACTGTAAATAACTTTCACGAATCTGCCCCCAAATGTAGTCTTTGGGCCTTATGAAACAATTTGTCAGAGCTGTAGCTTCGGAGTCGGCAGTCTTCAAGTACCTTAAAGACTTCTTCCCTAAGCTGTCTGAGGCAAAGGTCAAAGCCGGTGTCTTCATCAGACCACAGATAAAGAAGATCCTGGAGTGCAATGAATTCCCCAAGAAGCTCACGAGTAAGGAGAAAGCGGCTTGGAGCAGCTTTGTCGCAGTGGTTCGTGGCTTCCTGGGCAATCACATGGTCGAAAACTATGTGGAGCTGGTTGAGACTGGTGAAGAAATACGGCACAATGGGTTGTAGGATGTCCCTCAAAGTCCATATCCTTGATGCTCATCTTGATAAATTCAAGGAGAACATGGGAGCGTACTCCGAGGAGCAAGGCGAGCGCTTCCACCAGGATATACTGGACTTTGAACGCCGCTACCAAGGACAGTATAACGAGACAATGATGGGAGATTACATTTGGGGGCTGATTCGTGAAAGTGATTTACAGTATAATCGTAAATCTCGAAAAACGACTCACTTCTAAATCTTTTGTCGACTTTTTTGTATTACTTTAGTATAAATACATGTACATTTTGATTGATATGTAGTTTTTTCTGACTTTATGTGAACGAAAAGATGCAAAAAGACACAAATTCGCCCGTTTTCTCATTGAAAATAGGTAAATTTCGAAATATCACTGTCCTGGTCACAAAAACAAAGTTTGTGGGGAATAAGAGCAATTTTCTATACTTTTTAGGCATAAGCAATTACGAAATAACACTTACTACCCAGGAACAAAAATTGTGTTACTTCGTGTAATGAATGATCACATATCGAGCTAAATACCGCTGCAGGAGAAACTGGAAATGTGGCATAAAAATCTTGTTAAATATATTTTGCTGAAATGATACACTCCCGTTCATATATGCATACTTTCAAATGGTTTAAAATAAACTCATAAAGAATGCATTAATCTGACCAAATGCACGAATTGATCTCGTGACCATATATAACCAACACGAGTCTTCACAGTACATCAGTGTCCTTCAGGGGAAAGGAAAGTTGCATTGCCATAATTATAAACGCTGGGTCAAATGAGTCATTCAACACTCGGATAGGTAAAACATCAAAATTAATGAAAATAAAATAAAACAAAAATCACGATGTTTCGGAGGCAACACAAGTCTCCGTCATCAGGTGGGACCGTCACAGCCGAATTAGCTGCATCAAGTGAGGCACCTACGTGACTTTACCGAAAAAAAAAACCTATGAATATGAATCCTTGCAGTCACGAAAGCTTCAAATCTAGAAATACTCGGATACTTTTATCGCAGGTGAACTGTATACAGTGAGCTTGTTTGAGCTAGAATCAGCGTGATAGACAATACCTGTAATGTGTGAAATTGAATCTGAAGGCAAATGTTGCACGTGTATAGTTTTTATTGCGTCGGATTTTCTTGCCATTGTCAACAGCTTCCCTCGCTTCACCTAAACCAGAACAGATATCGGATGGCGTACAGTGGTCCTCGGTTTACGATGCCATCAATTAATGATGTTTCTATTAGCGATCCACCTCGCATAGGGTCCCGTACCTACTCTAATCACCCAGGAATGTCTGTCCTTAACGCTTGTGACGTCACTCCACATCGACCAGCCACCCTCATTAAAATTTCCCATCTTCGATTTACGATTATTTCAATTAACGATGGTTTTCGTGGAACCAATTAATATCGTTAACCGAGGGACCACTGTATTTGTTAATGCGTTTGTTTTTTGCTAATTATAATAGTAATAACATCCTTTGTTTATTCAGGGTAGCCTAATGCTTAGGAATCTTTTTCAGGAGTGTTCTGCATTTTAATGTTTGCTCAATTGCATTCATGAGCATTTGGCACGGGGGAAGGAAACTGGTCTCCCCGGAGAAAACCCAGTTAATACCACTCAGAGCTCCGCACAGATGGATTCAATCCACTTGCTGTACTGCAATCGCCTGGCCACCTCACAGCCTCATGGTTGGGAAGCGTCACATATTTGCTGGATCCACTAACCCTCCCTTCCGAGGTGCTGGATCACAGGTGGGCCTGCCCATTGTAGAGGCATCAAGTGGTGAAGTCATCTGTTAGAGACTGGTTTTTAAATTCCTAAACTGCATTTTTCAGCATTTGTATTTTTAAATCCTTTATATTAAGTTCGCATGCTTGCTTGCTTGCGTGCGTGCTTGCTTGCTTACGACCGTGCAAATCTTTCGGTCGTTTTTTAACCCACTTCCCGTGATCCAATCGAGCTGACATTTTCCACACAGACTCGTTGTGCCAGACAATTAATGTTCGTGAAAAAAAATTCCCAAAATTTTACACTTTTTAGGCAAAAAAAAATTATTTTACATATATTCAAATAGAACTCATGCATCGCTTTGGCTGAACGTCACAGTATAAGAGCCCAGAGCGTAACCCCTCCACAGGCCGTGGCGGAGTAGCGCAGTTGGTAGCGCCCTCGCTTCCCATGCCAAAGGTCGCGGGATCGATCCCCGCGTCCTCCACAGGCGAATATATTTTTAAATCCTTAATATTAAGTTCGCTGCCACGCATATAAAGGATTTATAGTGAAAAACTTTGTTTTTACGGGTTATACTTATTACTCAATGCAGCTTGAGATGGTGGGCTCGAGAATATACACCTCCGGTGTAACAACATACCCATTCAGTGCCGTGTTCTGCCCATTCTGTGCTCACAGTGCTCCAATGTGAGAAAGAATTCCACGAGGCGGCCAAACGGAATGATGTGGACGAAATGGAGAAGCTGCTGAAGAAAGTCAAGGTGGATGCTAAGAACATGGTACGTCCAAACCCGCACTGCCCCTGCACTGCCCCGTGTGGGTCAACGGACGGTGAAGGAAATTCAAGGGCCGTCACCCAACTTGTTATCCACGAGTCATTTTTATTTTTGCAGGCAAACCGTGTTTGGGGCCTGAGCTGACACGGAGCATGCCCCCCCCCCGCACCACGGGTGTTTGACCAATCTTGTGCTTATAAAATAGCCTCGGCGAAATAAAGTACACCGTACGGGTGACACCTATCTATCCACTGGCAGGCTCGAGCAGTGGGGTTGAAGGGGTGGGTGGAGGGCCAAGTCAAGACGAACAAATCCAATTGGTTTGTTCAAAGTGCAGCGGTGAGGTTAGTGCAGGAATACGTTTATAACTCAAGCGGCTGGGGCTGGCAGGGGGTAGGACCTGAAGTCGAAATTCAGAGGGAGGCATGCCCCCACGCCAGAGGTCGCAAACGGGTTTTGATTCCTTACCCGTACCCTGGCCGCACCAGGGTCGCAAACGGGTACCCGTACCCGGCCGTACCCGTACCCTACCCGTACCCGGCCGGGTACGGGTAGGATACGGGTATCGGGTACCTGATTGCGACCTCTGGGATGAAGCCATGTTGCAGGCACGGGTGGGTTGATTCTAGGAACTTGAATTGTGAGAAGAGACAAGACGTTGGGAAATGAGTGACAAACTGTTACTCACCAGTGACTCACGGCCTACCCATACCCGGCCGCACCAGGGTCGCAAACGGGTACCCGTACCTGTACCCGGCCGGGTACGGGTAGCCGGGTATCGGGTAGGGTACGGGTATCGGGTACCCGGTTGCGACCTCTGCCCCACGCCACCGTGTGGTGCCACGGTAGCGAGATGTTAAATACCTTGCCTGGTATACAGGAGGGCGTGGGTTCGATCCTGACCCTGATGCCTGTATATTTGGAGTTTGCATGTTCTCCTTGCAGTTAACGTCTCGCCACCGTGGCGAGACGTTAACTCTACACAACTGCATCGAGAGCGAGAGAGTGATGAGGTGAAGTGATAAAGAATCTAATGCGATAAAGTGAGATAATTTAATAGCTTATTTACGTATTTATTTAAGGCAATTAATTAAAAAGATGGGTTTTCGTTGGCCAATATCATTGTCCGCAAAATTTGCTCTTCACGAGCATCTCCAGAACGTATCCTTCGCGAACGAGGGGATACTGTAGCAGATTATTTGCAGAAACATGAGGCACATGTGATGCTATGAACAGATATGGGATCATAATGAAGACTTGATTTGCATGTTGGCCATGTTGCATGTTATTTGATTGCAGGAATAGGTGCATGGTGTATGTATGGTGGTGTTTTGTATGGAGCTGTACATAACAGAGTCACGGAGGTTGGCGTTTGCATAATGCACAGAGGTTGTTCTTTGAAAATGTGTTTGTGTCACCGCGAGCGATGATGTCTTAAGACCGATAAAAGAGCACAGGCTTTATATATAGCGCGTAACCCTACTCAGGCAGTGTTTATTGACGAACTCGGGATGCCGAGCTCGTTACGCTTCGAGCTAACCGCCAGACTACCGCACCACTGCCTACGCAGTATCACCTCCGATTAGCACGGGTTGGCTATGTATTGTGCGGAAGAAGTTCAACATACGTACATACCTAACTAAATAGCTTAGCGTAGTAATAACGAATGCGAATCCACCTGAAAAAAAGCGCAGGTTACATCGAATGTTTTTTTTTTTATCACGCGTGTGTCCTCGTCCTCACCCCCTTCACCGCTCACACCTTCTCACCAATGTCCCATCTGTGGCATCACCCTCAGCGTGACCAAACGGCGCTGCACTTTGCGGCAGGGAGTGGCCAGGAGGACGCCGTCAAATTGCTTCTGGAGAGAAAGGCGAACGTGGACAAGGCGGACAAGGTTTGGCGCGCAGCACCGACATATCCCCCAGGGGCTGGGTTTTGGCACGGCTGGAGTGAACCGATGCTTACTTAAAATTCACAGGCGAATTATCCGTTAAGGTATCGGCCATTATTATAAAGGCTTAATCGGATAATTCAATGGGAGCATTTTTTTGAGAATAAAATAATAGCTAAAGCTCACCATTTTGTTCGGAATGTCATGATTCACACCCCTACAAAATTCATCATGGTCACAATATGATTCAAAGCTCATATTTTGTGTTTGCAGGAGATGTAGAATGGTATTTGATGATATCAAGTCATTTGTTAAATATGTTGCACACGCTTATAAAATAATCCAGCGCTGAGGAGGCAAGGGTTGGTGATTCAAGAAATGGCATCACAGCAATGTGTTGATGAACACATCTTTGCAGACCTTTCAACTGCTATCTCCCCATATGCAAGGGTGTTCTCTCAGCACTCTAGTATTTTCCCACATGCAACACTTTCCTCAAATCAGAATTGGCAAAAATATCCAAGATCATTCTAAAAAGAGTCTGGATAATTGAATGACATATCAATAATTTACCTTGTTTTAGTAGTGTCAGCATACTTGACTTCATAACACGTCACATGCAGGGAATGATGCAAGTATTGTGAGAATACGAATTGATTTTAATCGGAGTATCGATTAATACTTACACAGTGCACCCACGTTTTCTTTTCTGAAGGCTAGCATTGAGCTTGACACCCTGTCTCCTGGCTTATCCTTGTCCTGCTCTGTCACATCTGTGCATCCTCTTATTCCAAGAGCATATGTAATTTTAGATGCGTTTATTTACGATGTTTAAAAAAAATAGGCTTAGATGACTGCAGTATAAATTTTGATTTAAAGCTTTCGTGACTGCAGGGATTCATCTTCTTGGTTCTTTCGGTAAAGTCACGTAGAAGGGAAGTAATAAAATAATTAAAATAAAACATAATAAAATTTTAGAAGATGACTGCAGTATATTACATGCCAGCATCGGTCAGCAAGAATGCTAACCACTTCGGTATTGGCCCGCATTTCACGCTGGCAATGATCTAATTTAATCCCGTAAATAAATCATGGTCAATGGGGTCATCTTCATCAGCCAGGATCAATCCACTGCTGGGTGAAGGCCTCTCCAAGCTACCGCCACCATTCATGATCTTGCGATGCAGCGATCCATGCTTGACAATCCAGCACTTTGAAAGCAAGGGTGGGCGGATAAAGTACAGACTGGATTGTTGGATCCTGGTCAAGTAATTTGACACGTACTCTTTACCGGTTGGGTAATGTCATGGCGTAACAGTGTTAAACTTCTATTTTTGCTACAGTACATTTGACCACATTACATTCGATTGATAACCAACTTGTATATTTTTTGCCTTCAAAATAATATTGCTGGCAACAAACTCAAATTCGTGCACTCTACTGTGTGAAGTCTGCTGCCCTAACTGCTTCGGAGCGCTTCACTGAGTGCTTCTTAACCTGGTTCATTCCACGGCGCGCTGTTGAGCTTGCTCGATCTTTGCGGCACACCTTGGAGGCCGTTTCCTTGACTGTGCATGCGCGACCGAGGGAGTTGAGAGGGCCGGGGGGTGTCTGATGCCTTGCTGTGGCACGACAAGTGGAGAAGGGAAGGCGGGAGGTGGGAGCTTGGGGCTGGATCGGCCACTGAATGGCACGGAGAGTTCGTCTGTCCTCGTTTCTTTCCTTTTCTATATTTCTGAAAATAACACGGCACACCTGGAGCTTTGACTTAACACACGCATTCTAAATGTTGATACATGTGGCAGCCGTTTATTTAGGTTTGTTCTATAAATGTACTGTAACATAGTTTTCTCTTTAATTGGTGTGTCATGCTTGTGAGCAATATCACACCACAAGTGTGTAAGGTTATTATGCTTTGAATTATATTTGGTATCTTGAGTAGAAATACCAAAAATAACGAAATACAATCGATTGATGCCACAATCTTGGCTTTTGAGTGGACAGCCATCACAAAGCTATGCACAGAATGTGCCCAGGAACGTTGATGTTATCTTGACATTCAAAGTATGCCGGGATTCTTGCTAAATGTTGCTGTTGAAGACACCTTTTTGCAGAACCGTCATCACAATATAGAATGCTGATCAAGACTGGTTGATAAAAGGGTCAATGAATGTCAACATTTTAGTGGCATCACCAGTGCGGTAAAACCTCTGGCATTGTCAACTGGTCTACCCTTGCTAAACACAATCTGAAATATTGGCTTGCTGAAAAGTCTGCCACCAAGATGTGCTGGTGTTGAAGCTGACTGCTGTGCATTATGGTCATTTACTCCAGTACGGGATGAACCCTCTGCTCATAGCGGCTTGGTTTGGACACCTGGAGGTTCTCAAGCGCCTCGTGAATGGTGGAGGGAGAGTCTCCAGCCAGAACAAGGTAAGGACTGGGGCAGCAGGTTTAAACTCTGGAAAGCAATCACATCCTGGGCCATAGCTTGCATTGCTGCTGTTGTAATCGCATTTGATTGATATTGACATCTAAAGTAAACATCCATGGCCCAATCAATCGTTTAGCAGACACTGTCGCTGCTAGGTTTTTCTTGAAAATGAGACAATGTTATTTCAGGTGTCTCAATGGGTTTATTTAATCTCCTGGTTAAATAAAATCTATTTAATTGCTGATGTCAGTGGAAAAAAAAAACATCCAATTCAGTAGAAAGTAATGGTTTTCGCATACTAGGACATGGTCTCCACCTCTGTGTCTTCCACATGGCGAAATTTGCAAACATGGGCAGAGCCAGGGCAGATCTAGGCTGGGGTTGGGGAAGAAACAACTCTTCAGCAAGGCGCTATGCCCTGGGGTGGGTGCGGTGATGGAATGTGGAACGTTTCTGTTGCTAATCTTGTCACCAACCTGTGCATGTTTTTTTGCTACTCTGGTGTAAAATATCTCCTTTCCTACCATGTGGATATAATGTATACAAAGATAAAGATCCCGCGTATAGCCTTAACAGACTGTAGGGGCAAGTGCTGTTAGCGAGCACCTATGAAGGCCGGAACGGTACACGAACGAAGGGGGTGGGTGACCAGCACCACGCCCGACCGCCTTTGTCTCCCCAGTAGCGATGTTTACACACCGCACCAGGTACTCATTTAAGGCTGAGTCGACCTAGGGGAGGCCCAGGACCGGTTCAGATAATCGTCACTGGTGTTAGCCGTGAGCGGGAATCGAACCAGGTCGCCAGGTTCATAGCGCAGCGCGCTAACCGCTACACTACCGCTTCCCATATAAATAATGTATACACACACATACACACATCCATGTGCAACTGTATAAATGTGAGACAATCCAAATTGCCTGTGATGGGGTGTTTTGCACGCTCGTTTGTGACTGGACTGAGACCATCAATACACTGCAGTTGAGAACCTGGATTAATCAAAGGTGGCTGACTTTGATTCGAACCCAGGGTGTCATTGGTGCCAGCTCAGCGCTCTGACTCTGAAGCCACCTGGTCACCCCCTGTTAAAAACGTTCTCATGTGTTCACTTGGTGCCCTGGTTTCCTTCTGCACGCCAGGAATGGTCAATACACCAGTTGCTCAAACATCGCAAAGCAAGACCCTCCTCAAAAGCACCGTGGCTGAGTGAGGCTTGCTTGGTTGGTCAAAAAAAAAAATTAACCGCTGAATTGTTTTCCATCTCATCAGCATTTCAACGTAATCGTTATCCCAACCACACCTACACTAACCCATGTGGCTGGTGCCAAATCACAAACAACAAGACACATTTACAGGTCAATGCTATTAAACTGTAAAACTACTTACATTTTACTTATTTATAATGCATTTACTGAAAGTTATAAGATGATGTGAAAGCCAGTCTATATTTTCGCCGCATTAAATACAATATAGATTTTAGTCCATTAAACCTATGGGATTTCCAAATCAACACTATCCAACAGCATTTATTAATAAGCTTAACTTTGACAATGATTCTGGGTAAGAGTGTCCTGAACAGCCCATAGGCTGGACTAAAACTATTGTATTAACCTTATTGGAATGGAAGCCTTTTGAATTGAATTACCCACAATACTCCTCAAAAATATGGCGAGTTTTAACGCGTTAAATAAGATTAATCATCGGCTCGACTACACACTGCAATTTTCATATTCCCTGTGCTCGAGTTTGACTCGGCCGATAAAGTGAGCTTAGTTTGAATCTCATCATTTTTCATTTGGATCCCTCATGAGCCTTACAGTGCTCTGTGAAGCTTTATAGGTGATGTGTGCCTGTGTTTTCCATGAAAGTTTATGCACGTTACAGTAAGAGTGAATGTGCATATAAACGTGGCACGTGTGGGTATTATTAACTGGCCTGGCACAGGCGCCGTGGTGACGTCACCGTCACTTAGTGGCGAACGGCGGGTAATTGGTATCACCGTAGTCCGAATGTTGTTTATGCTGCTCTGCAATGCCAGTGTCATGAAACACGTGGTGATAATAATTGACAAATATCACTCTCTTCTCGTGATTCTCACTCATGCCTTGCTCCCTTTCCCTGTCAATGCTCCATTAGAATGGCCTGAACATTTTACACTGTGCTGCTCAAAGAGGACACGTTGAGACTGTTACATATACCTTGGAGTCCCTTGAAGACCTCGGCATTGAGGGAAAAACCAACGTAAGTTGCTTTAAATTTCGATGTAAAGCTTTGTGCTATCACGAGCAGTAAAACTTCTAGTATTGCCGAACAGTCCACGGAAGTGGATATTACAGCTCTACTTCTGAAATAATTTCAAGTGACCTCTGGTCCACAGCCAGTAGAGGGCAGCACTTCTCACTTGCACTGCATATGAAAGCAAGGTTTAATTTTCGATTTAAAGCTTTCGTGACTGCAGGGATTCATCTTCTTGGTTCTTTCGGTAAAGTCACGTAGAAGGGAAGTAATAAAATAATAAAAATTAAACATAATAAAATAATTATTATGTTGCATTGTGAACAATCTTCCTGCAAAATCTCTCCAGCATCCTTGCTTCAACAGCGTTGTCACAGTTGATTGTTTGAATTTGGGACTGAATGTGGTTTTTGAATGGCTACACATGAAATCAATCAATATTGTAACTTGACTTGTTTGAGAAGGCTTAGCATCTTGGACCTTTTGGCCTGTGCTCAGTAATCACGATAAATTAAACAAAGCAGATAGACTGGTGGGCAAGCAGTTCATCTGCATATGTAAAGGAATTGCATTCTTAATATACATTAATGTGGAATGAGGATGAAACGGAAGCTATGAGGGGTGCAAACAATGCATCGATTCATTAATTCAAATTGATTTATATGCTTCTACTACGCGCATCAAATCGCCTGTGTGAAAAACAACCGATCTTATTAAATTTGAAAATACAGTGTTGGATAGATTACATCGGTCCATGTAATCCATCCAGCCACTCTAGGCCACCACATTCACCACAGTGCTAAAAATATAATTAATTCTTGATTTGAATCATGACCTTCCTTGAATTGCAACAAGTAATCGAATCATAAGGTGGGCAAATTGTCACACCGCGAGGAGACACGCCTAGCCCGGTTTAGCGTCTTCTCTTCTGTGGTCATCCCTCAGTGTTTAGCACTGCTATGTCACGTGTACCACAATTGGAATGACATTGTTGAGAAAAACACATTCATGTTTGAAAACCAGTATCTAATATGATCTGTAGGCTGCTAATGTGTGTTTACTGTATTGATCTGTGTACATTGTGTTCTCGCATATCCTGGATGGGTTTGACATTATCTGGTAACTACTACCTCGCTAAACATATTCACATCGAAATAAACATGGGCACTCCTCGAGACAGTGTTTTTGCGAAGAGAATAGCGGGTCTTGGCACGGACAACCACGGATGTGAGATGTTAACTGCCGCACCTATAAGCAGTTGCATTTGGAGTCTCTATTCTCTCCGCCTGATGAAAACCGTTTGTGTTGCGATCGAAACGTCGTGGCTTTTTTGCTTTTAATTTTAAAAGTTTTATTTAAAAAAGAAATTCTATGTACGTGACTTTACCGAAAAGAACCAAAGAATATAAAAAAAATAATAATCTTGCAGTTTTTTTTCCACGAGTGAGGGTGTTTAGCTAAATAAACCCCTCCAATTTATGGAATAAAATTATCTCTTGTGTTTTAACATTACAGGGCCTAACGTGTATGCTGTTCTTGTGCAGGCTGAGAAAACGCCGTACCTACTGGCGGCCGAATACGGACAACTTGCAGTGCTCGAGCTTCTGATGGATTACAAGTGTGCACAGGACGTCAGCGATGGGGTAACACAGTAAACAGAGCAAGAGCAAGGTTGCAGCTTTAGGAACACAGTATTCACGATCATGGAAGTTAACCGATTATGAAAACGTTGCTTTAACCCTCTTGCACAATAATTATTCAAAGACCAAACCTAAAATAAATGTTGTTTTAGTTTAATGTGAATTGTAGGACTCAAAGGGAACTCTCATAAAAAAATGTGTTGAAAATATTCAATGTGATTTTACAGAAGCCGTATTAATAATAGCGGTCCACCCGACGCAGACTTGATGTGCGAAAGGGTTAAACTCCCATTTCAAAATATCGTGAAGCATTTTGGGTAAACGTTTCCAAAATTGAGAGTGATCGACCAGTGCTGTGGATGCAGAGGCTGGTGGATTACGTAGATTTGTGGACTCCTGCACTACTGTGGCCAAGAAATGGCAGGATGCTAAATGGGTCTGTAAAACATTCCTGTGTGGACTTTTGTAATCCCTCTGTTTTGCTGCACAGTAGTTTTTGAATGTTTAGTGTTTATCTTTTGTGTACTTTAGTGTCTTCCCACAGGCAAAGCACTCATTCGAAAGGATTCGGCCAAACATCTCAATGTAGGAATATCCTAAAAAGGGGGCCTGATTCTCAAGGAAACACTTTTATTCAAAAATAAATTACATTACCTGAATAAGTATTGTGAACATAGGTATGTAGGAAAGAATTGGCCCCAATAATAGCAATTTATTTTACAATACATCAACTGCTTATATTGATTTGTTTGTATAAATACAAACAAATACATATTTGTAGTTTTACAGTAAAACCTCTTGGAGTAAGTCAGATGTCTGGGTATGCTGAAAAGAATAAATCCATGAAAAATTGTTCAAGAATCTCCAACCAGCATACCGTTCTCATGCTAATGAAGCCGGGTGCGGTCGAACGAACTGTTTTGCAATCAATCCACATTCTTCAGCCTACCGTAAAGCTCTTATGCTAATCATGTGTCAGAAATTCAAGATTTGCTTGTCGACAATAGTCAGTGTGAGATACTATCCCCTACTTTTGTAATACAGTTCAGTATATGCAATTTGCATGTGATTGTGCACAAGCAAATTCTCTCGACTTATCCGTTGTGAGAAATGTGGTGACACCGGTCATCCACATGCTCTGTTAGTGTCCGCTCTGTCTGACATAAATTCTAAATTTATTTCACAAAAAAATATTTAGCTTTCCACTGGCAGTCCCTCTCACCTCCACTGCAGGGCTACCGTATTGGACTCAAATTAAACTCTACTGTAGTGATTTAAACAAATAGTTTTTAACCAAATATTGAATTATGAACATTTAGTTAATTACTACTAAGTTATTTACCGTGAATACATTGTTAGGTGTAAGTTAGCATGTACATACAATATACATTCAGAAATAATGTATTTGATCATTTTCAGTATTCTGATCATCCCCCAATTCAAATGACACTTTTAAATTGCACTTTTCAACTTCTCATAGTTGCGACATAAAGTATATTTAAATTGGTTAAATATGATTTTATTTAATGCACAATGATTCATGCATATTTTCTTTTTTTCAGGAGAAAAACACCGCCATTCATCTTGCGGCAAAAAATGGCCACATGCTGTCGTTGGAGCATTTGCTGGAGAAAGGCCCTGGGAGAACTCTGGACTTTGTCAACAGCCAGAATGTCCGTGAGTGCTGTTATTTCACAAGACAAAGTTCCCCTGTGTAGCCTTAGCAAACTGTAGGGGCAAGGGACTATTAGCGAGCACCTATGAAGGCCGGCATTGGAGGCTGAGTATACCTAGGGGAGGCCCAGGACCGGTTCAGATAATCGTCACTGGTGTTGGCCGTGAGTGGGAACTTGGGTCGCCTGGGTTCATAGTGCAATGTGCCAACACATTGTACACGCATACACACGTGGACATGGCGAGAGTCCTGCCTGAACGACACCGTGCATGATCCGTACCTATCAGTGGACAGCACTGATCACTACCTCCAGCAAGCGGTGCATTCAGTGATGACTTTTATGTCTCACGTGTGTGCACACGTGGAACTTCAAGGAGAGACTCTCAAGGCAATGCTACTGTAATAGTGATTCAAGAGTAGATGAATCCTTTAACATCCTCCAAGAGATGGTGTCTTAGTAGATGACCACTAAGTAGCATACACGTATACAATAGTCATCATTTACCCAACCCGCTCATAGATGAACACCTCCCAATGCCGTGTCAGTCATTATGGTTCTTGACCATACGTCACCGTGCTGGTTGGTGTTTGTTGGTGAAAGACGTGTCCAGGACTGGTCCAGACATCACTCACCACTGATTAAAACAAGACCCACTGAGCTATGTAGCTCTTTTTAGAAGCGACCTGGCCACAAATGATAGCTCAACGAGAAGTGGCTTATCACGTGGAAATGTAAAGCAGCCAAATACTCTTGAACGCATGTTGATTCTAAAGTGGAGGGAAAAAACCAGAGGACACGGATAAGAATCCACGTGGCCACGGGGAGAACATGCAATCTCCAAATATACAGGCGTCAAGGTTGGGATAGAACCCACGACCTCCTGCCTAGCACAGTTAACATCTCGCCACCATGAGATATTAACTGTGAGCTGGGTCAGAAACCACTGTGCCAGCACTGTCCTCAAATATTATACTGGACTTCTATTAAATAATTTCCGAGAACAACTTGTTAAAGGAAGTGGTTTATTCATACAATATATATATCTTTAACTGTATCCATACGTTTTAATACACATCATCATGAATTTGAAATATATGGTGTATGTCAATTGGCTCTTATTTGTGTTGTGAGGAAAGGTATTAATTCTATCATGTTACATTTTAATCATTTTCTCTTATAAGCGTGCATATTCCGGTTGGAATCATATATCTTTGGGATTTTCCTGGTTCTTGGATTAATCCTAAAAGTGCGAAAATTTAGGCAAGATACAACATTTACACTGATCTGATTGACCCAAAAATGTGCCATCACAGGAAGTGATGTCACGGCTGTGACATCCCAATATCCTCCTCAATACCCTCCTCAATACATATCCTGACCTTGTTTGGCCACACAATATCTATGGAAGCTCCTGACACCTGTGTACGAACACCCGTTTTGCTTGGTTTGTTGACAAACCGCCTGACCGACTGCAGTGTAGAATGGAAACACAGCCCTCCACCTGGCAGCAGAGGGAGGGCACCTGGAATGTGTGCGGATGCTGCTGGACTGTGAAGCGATCTGCGATATCAACGCACTCAACAACGTGAGCTCGCGCCACACACACACACCCACCAGCATGCTCACACGCAAAGACAAAGATCCCCCGTATAGCCTTCACAGGCTTTTAAGGGCAAGTGCTGTTTGCGATTGGCCTATTAAGGCCAGCACGGCACACGAAGGGGTGGGTGGCCAACACGACGCTCGGCTGCCTTTGTCTCCCTCAGTGCTGATATTTTCAAATATGACACCAGCTACTCATTTGAGGCTGAGTCGGCCTAGAGGAGGCCTAGGACTGGTTCAGATAATCGTGACTTGTGTTGGCGGTGAGCGGAAATCGAAATCTGGTCGCTGGGTTCGTAGTGTAGAGAGAGCTAATCACGACACTTCCGCCCTCCCCCACAGCTACACGCACATACAAGCTGTGTGCAGACACAACTTGAAAATCCAGGATTTTTCAGGCCTCACCACAGGCTTCACCACAGATATATATGTGTGTGTTTGGCTGTTGTTGGGATGACTGTCGGGATGGAGGCAAATGGGGCTGTCTAGGATTTTAGCAAGGATGGAGAGAGAACCCAAGTGATGGATGGAAGGAGGATGCCCTGGTGACTTGCAGGAGGGAGGGAGGGAGGTTGCCCAGGTGATTGATTGCAGAGATAGGGGGACCTGTGGGACTCCACATTTCGACTAATCACTCGAAAGGGGGCTGGCCTGGGTTCACAAAGTAGGCAAAGGGGGGTTTATCCTAGGTTCCCATGGCAACCTTACTGGGCAAGGCCAGCTTCACCTGGGTTACGTGACCCACTTACCGGGGGCGGGTGGCTCTCCTCGCTATGGGAGCTAAGCACTTCTAGCTGGGCCGCCCTCGGAACGCAGTCATGACATCACAGGGTCAAATGCGGACGAACGAGAGATTCATCCCCGCATCAGTGGGAATTTCTCATTTGGGTGAATTTCAGGGCTGTGCTTTTGTTTGAGAAAAAAAAAACCATGGCCGAGAATGACCGAAATTATAAATGTTAGCTTTTGATTATGTCACCAAACTCGATTATACATGTGCTATGAATAAGGGTCATTGCCCAAAAAGTCATCCTTATATAGTTTTTCTTTTATAGCAGTGTTATTGATACACGTTTTGAGTTTTTAATTACGTTACACTTTTTGATGTGAAAATAATTACAATCACTTCCCTGTGGTCATTGAGGGAATGGGATGGAGTGGGGAGAATGCATGGGGAGGAGGAGGGATGGTCTCTTTGGTTTAAACAAGATATGAGCCATGCTGGTCTGTACCACGAACAAACCAGCACAGTACAGGTCTGATTCATGATGGCCGTGGGAACACAGCATTGGTATCAGTGAAGATATATGTGGGGCCAGGTGACCTGTAGGTGGGAAGGGGAAAACGCTGATGATATACCGGTGTTCAGACGGAGATCCCTGGAGATCCCCGTAAATTTTATCTTGTGTATGGCAATTAATTTAGGAGCTAAATGCCAATGTCTGAGGTCTGCTCGCCACGATGAGAAGGCTACTAGAGAGAGTTGGTGTGGGTTATTTTCTTTATTCCTCCTATTAAAATGGTTCCACGGTTTGGTTTGCATGACCAAAGTCACACTCTGACGCACCCGTGGTGCCATGGGGGATGCTGGGAGATAGCGCAAAGCCATTTTAAGTTGCAATGCACGTTTAGATACACGGGGAAAGCACTCGCGTACCGTTATTAAAGTATATGATTAAATATATATTTTGGTTTACGTTTTTGTGAATGTTCTTCTTCCGTTTGTATTACCTTTCAATTGTAGATGTGCACATTTCAATTCAGGTCCAGTATTTGTGACAGAATGTACAAGGCAATGTAATATATCCATATTGCATGCCATTGAGTGAGGGTCGCATGCGTTCAGAGATAACTTTTTAATTTAAAGTGTCAGATACACCGCCAGACCCTTCTTTTAAAGGTAAAGCAATACCTAATAATGTGTTATTATTTGAAATCAGAAACAAAATCTTATTTTATTTGACTGATGCATGCCCTCGTGGGAGATTCTACAATATCCTTTAAGCTCGCCAGAATATATTGAAGACTGACATTTGTGCAATCTGGCAACTACTGGTACCTTAGGGATCAGCAACCTGACATGAAGGGAGATAGCTCCCAACAGATGTGAACAGCATCCCTTGTTATTTGTAACGCAGTGCACGGTCCACCTAAAAATTGAGATTTTCTATTCAATTTGACAGAAATGGTTGTTTTCAGTTAATAAACTCAACTAATTAAAGGATTTTTTTTACCACGTAAAGCCCACTGAGCTATGAACTATCTTAAGAGGAAACGTGGCACACATAATAGCCCATCACAGAGACTTATCTTACGTGGGAATTTATCGTGGCCAAATCATCTAATGTTCATTCAAATGAATGTAAACAACTTGAACCTATAACACTGAGATGTACAGATGGCACGTGTAAGCCCATGCAAACACAACTCATGGGACATTTGTTATTCAATTGTCAAACGACAGGTGTCTAATGGATTTAATAATTTTTATTTGTTCCGGACTGATTCCCATGGCTATTCAAGGTGGCATTGTGAATGTATATTTCAGAAGTGTTGTGTTTTAAATTATATATATCAAATAGCTTTCATGCTATGAAATCTATTGAGGATATGAGATATTACAAATATATATAATGTATACATGTTTAGTTCTATTACAATATTTATGGGATGGGTGCCAAACTTATAAAATAAAAAAATAACTTATTTTAAGAATTTCGTATCTTGTGAGTCAGGAGTTAACTGGTATCAGGTTAATACCACTGCAACGTTGAATCTTTGTACCCTGAATCTCAGGGTTCAAATCATAGCACAAAACGTTTCCAAAATAAGAATTGGTCTTTGACTTCTTTCAGAAAAACCCAGCTCGTTGTGCTTACACCAGACACGAAAGGACATTCCCATCCAGCAATTGAACATAGGGCAGTCTAGAGCAGTGGCTCTTAACCTGGGGTGCACTCACCCCCTGGAGGTGCAAGATGTCCTTTCTGGGGGTGCGACACGTGGCCAGATTTCTCTTAGAAGGCAAATAATAAAAAACACAAACTAAGCACGGGCACATAAGTACAACTTTGTTTAATGAAACCTTTGTGTTTATTAACATTATAAATGTTTTACAATTGAGAACAAAAGGGGTGCAAGAATGTAGTGAAAGTGAAGATCCACTGGTCTAGAGGTTGGGGCGAAGATGATTCCACTTTTGGGAACTATCCTCATGCAATGTGTTCTTCGGTGTGGTAGAATGTCCTCAAGCTACAGCGTGAAACGCATCTCACTGTTCTGTGTCCAGATAGCCAGATGGTCGACTAATTGGAATCTAATTGTAAAAAATTGTGCTGGAGGTGTTGGAAGCATTTCTATAAAACATAACACAGGTATGATAATTGGTTCTTTACCCTTCTATCTGGCAACAAAACTGACACCTTTTTGCAAGGAGTCATGTTTGCATAGACCGCAATACCTGCAGTCATAATACAAACAAAAGAACATAACTCTGATAATGTGCACTGTCCTTGAAGTTGATTGGTCCACACCCGAGACAGCTTTCCTTCGAGCCTAGTCTCATATGGGTTGGACCAGATGACGCCAAAAGGCGCACAACCAATCAACTTCAAGGACAGTGCACATTATCAGAGTTATGTTCTTTTGTTTGTATTATGACTGCAGGTATTGCGGTCTATGCAAACATGACTCCTTGCAAAAAGGTGTCAGTTTTGTTGCCAGATAGAAGGGTAAAGAACCAATTATCATATTTTTACTGGCAAATGAGGTCCCCATAGTATAACACAGGTATTTAAAGTTAGCATAGCCCACTTATAAATGTAGAAGGATCATTCTACAGACATTGCCAAAGTGGATCCAGAATTATTAATGTAGCTACTGTACGATCAAATGTAATATTACAAATTGGAAATATGTTACTTGATTTTGTGTTTTCTTATTAATGCATGCACCTATAACTGTAATTTGATATTAAAAAAACAGGTTATGATTGTTTTCAGCTGATTGTATTTTTTACATTATTGTGATTTTATTCCAGATGGGAGGATGTTTAGTCTGTGCCAGTGCGTCCCAGCTGTTGCTTGTAATTGAATACTGGTTGCGTTTTAGATTCACCTTGATTGTTTTGCTTGGCTCTGTACGCATAGGAGTCCATGAACGCCCTTCATATGGCTGCCAAGCACGGCCACGAGCAGATCGCCAAACTCCTCATCGACGAGACCATCGACATCAATGCGATCAGCACGGTAAACCCAGGCTCCCCAAACAGGAGGAGTGAGTTGCTGTGGTAACTGCAGCGAGTGTGTGTTGTAAAGAAAATGGTGAATTTAATGAGTGTCGGTTTTCATAAGACCTTTGGCAAGTGTTGTGACGGGTACTGCAAGATTCGACCATGTCTGTCGGGTGCTTGCCAAGCTGCAATGACTTCCATTTGCCGAACGAATGCATGAAAGGTCGCACTCATTACACAAAAAGGGCTTGCCACAAATGAACCATAATGCCTCGCCGATTCTCGTCGAAAAACATAAAGCATCACGCGAACTCCGGTCAACCTCGCAACGGCTTTTGGCAAGCCACTGAAAGAAGACGGTCACCACATCGCACGCTTTCAGATGCGCTTCTGCGGCCGTCTGTAACAATGTTCGTTCCAATATTAAGAAGCCGCTCCGAAGCGATGGACTTTTAAATCTAGATCGAAAACTCACTTCTTTAGAACTCCTTTTTGTATTTCGTTTGTTGTCCTTCCCCTGCACCTCCGATTAGCACGGTTGGCTACGTAAAAGGTGAAATAAATTCAACATACGTACACCTGATGCATGCGGGCGCATCTTTCCCAGTGAAGAGATTCAAACCATTATTGTTTTGATCAAAGCTGAGCGAGTTGCCCTAAAGGTCGTCTCCATATGCTTCACGTGTTCAGCAATAACTTCAGAGAAGGCCCTTATGAAACGTGACGAAACTCGCCAAATACTAGATGCGTGTACAGTAAATGCAATCTAGATCTGAAATTTTCGTGACTGCGGGGATCCATACACTTTGGTTCTTTCGGTAAAGTCACGGTAGGTATTTTATACCTACGTGACTTTAACCGAAAGAACCAAAGAGTAGTAAATGCAATATTTTTTAAACATGTCGTTGATCAAGCTTAAAATTTTAATTAAATATAGCAACTTTTGATATATATTGATATATATAGCTCAGGTGTTTCATTACATTAGCAGGTACCATTGGCCCATGGCAAGAATGTCATTCATTAGCGGGCGAGAGCTTGCGCTGCACAGACGCCTGAGTGAGTTGCCCACGGGCTCCCCTGTGAGCACGCTGGTCATGCAAATGTAGACGAGAGAGAGGTAAATAGTCAGAGCTTTGCAATCACTATAATGGAGGCTATAACATTGACTGAGACTTAAAATAGCATTTGATTTCGTAGAATTCCGTGTGGATACTTGAAGCGGGAAGCACCCAAGTGTGACACGCGTTTATTCTTAGGGTTTAATTGTAGGTGAGTGGCTCTGCCGGTTCTTTATAGAGCTCATTTAAATACTATTATCAGACCTGCTGCTGTTTTAAAGATAACATTATAAATGCCTTGTGATGTAATATTCAAGATTGGTAGGCTGTTGTCATTGCACAGCTGAAAATCTGATGTCTGAAAATAACTTCCCACAAAAATTTCGGGGGAATCTGTTACGATGTGGGAAGATGCGGCTCAAGGTGAGGTTGAAGGATGTTCCTTCAATACTCTTGTCACAATTGGAGCACAGCATGCCACTCCATCTAGGATAGTGACTGCTTATTCCATGATGTCAAAGATAGGAGGGCAATTAGAGGCTTTTCGTGAGTCACCTTACAGGCTTTTATGCAGAACAGGTGAGGCAATGAGGCCCTGGGTCATACATAATTTGCTGTTTGCTATTATTGACATCAGTCACTGCAAAGGCAACTATTCATTTTGCAAGGCATAGTTTTTATGTTTAACATGAGAAACAAACACAATGTGACGAATCTCATTCTTTTTGGAGTCGCAGTGCCTTTAACGTACATTCACGTGTTTATCCTGCCAGAATATTTTTTATTGCTTGATTTGTGTAGCTTCCTAGGAAACGTCAAAGGTTCTATACTATTATAGTAAAAAAAATATGTGCAGGTTTTTACTATTTTCTCCGAATTATAAGGCTTTCCAGAAAGTAAAACCACACCGCAAATGTTTAGCCGTTCATCAATAAATGTATAAAAACCTGGTCACACACAGACACACTTATAAGACGCATACCCCAGCCTTTGCTTTTATATATAGGGTGGGAAAAAGGTGCATCTTATAATCCAGAGAATAAGGTATTATTCAAATGAGTTCATAAGCACACTAGAAATTCTTTTTCCTCATTTCTCTTGGCGATGTCACGGAGCGGAGCAATTAGCCGTGATCCCTTATGGAAGGTGCGTTTTATTTTTGCGGAACCATAATGAACGCAGCTTCAGAGCCGGGGTGGTTAGTCATTGCATCAGTAATTATGAGCAGGACAAAGGTCATGTAGAACACAACTGGATGATGAAAGGCAATGTACCAATTTTCCGGCAGAGATACATGTTTAACCCGGTGCATATTACCTGCGATGACAAGAATAGAACAGAAACGTGGACACTGCCAATGAAAATGGAACAAAAATCTGACAAATGCAGAAACAGGCGAGAAAAGGAGCATGTTTGGAATTACATTTACAGCCAGAAAGAGGAGTGCCCGAATCAGAGACAGTACCCAATGTTACAGATATCATTTCAGTGGCCTTGAGTAAATCACCTCCGTGTGTCAATGGTCAAGACTCACGACGAGTTGGCAGTTAAAGAGGGAACACGCCGCCGCAGTGGCGAGATGTTAACTACCTCGCCTGGATGGCAGGAGGTCGTAGGTTCGTACTTGCCCCTGACACCTGTATATTGGAGTTTGCGGCGTCTCTCTCCCTGTGGTCATGTACATTATTCTCCGTGTCCTCCGGTTTTTCCCTCCAGATTTGTAAACATGCATTTCGAGAGTATTTGGATGTTATACATCTCTACACGATAAGCCACTTTTTTTAGCTATCATTGGTGGCCAGGTCGCTTCTGAAAAAGAGCTATGTAGCTCAGTGGGTCCTTACCTGGTATAACATACAAAATATAGTTCAGTTTAGGAAACCATTTGCCATGGAGACGGAGTGATGATATCAGCTCGTAAGTGGGCTCTTGAAGGATTCTGGCATTGAGACTGCAAGGGATGATGATAACGGCGCCAGGTCTTCATCCAACATGGGTCATGATGAGTTGATGATGAGTTACTGTTGTATGTGTTGGAATTATGAAATTTTGATGAAAATAATAAAAATTAATAATTTTCCGAAAAATGCGCAATTCGCATTAATTATGATAGTGTGTGTATTAATACGCATAAATTATGATAATGCATGTGATTATATGCATAAATTATGATAATCACGGAGATAATCGTAGTAATTTATGCGGAGGCTTGCGATTATGTTAATGTGTGCAGTTATGATAATTTGCTTAGTTTCGTTTATCCAGAGTTATCAATCAGGATAACACGATTATCATAGATTCATTTACCGATTATCCTAGTGTGTGTTATAATATTTTAGGTCTCCATTTTCATATCTCATCGCAGGATACAGCTCTTATGAATAAGATGGTTTTGCATGGACTTGGAAAGAACACTCAATATGCTTCTGTGATAACAATTTTATTCTAACAAACACGTGACATTCTATCATGCAGGTCAAACATGCTTCAATAATTCATGGGCAAGATTATGCAATTAACTAATATGAACGACAAAACTTATGCAGTTGCGAAATTATGCAATTATGCAATATGAATAACGAAAACTCTTATGCATTTGACTAAAATGAATGAATAAACACTTATGCATTTGTGAAATTATGCAATTATGCAATATGAATAACGAAACTCTTATGCATTTGACTAAAATGAATGACTAAACACTTATGCATTGAACGAACTGAATGACTAAAAACACTTCTATCAATTGTAACCTCTACTTTTCCTACCAGGCATCTCATTGGTTCGCCCATGTATCGATCACAATCGGCGACTGGTCGAGTTTGAAAACAAGCATGACACACTTCCTATGGCGGTAATGTAGCACTTATTATACCCAAGAGACGAAAGTATATGTCAATAGATTAATCGGCAAGTATAAAAGTCCTCTTAACGGAATGTTTGATACAATGGTGGGTGAGGGCGTGTGGGCGCGAGAGCGAATCTGGCTCTGTTTTAATTAACTCTTCGGCGAGACTCTGGGACAAAGGAAACTGGTTTGACAAGATTTCCTCTGTCTCCTTGAATCTGTATGTGGGGAGTGATACGACCTCTGCTTTCTGTGCGAGCGGCAGCTGAGACTTTCTCCGCTGTGAGGTGAGCGGCGGCGCTCGTTCAGAAGACTTTGACTCTTTTTCTCCACGGCGGGATGAGAGTCGGTTTTGGTTGATGCTGGTCGATCTGGGTGTCGCTCGTTGTTGCTCGTTGTCGCACGGTGGCGCAAGGTGTCGCACGGTGTCGCACGGTGGCGCACGGTGGCGCAAGGTGGCGCAAGGTGGCGCACGGTGGCGCAAGGTGGCGCACGGTGGCGCAAGGTGGCGCACGTTGGCGCTCGTTCAGCGATCTCCGCCTTTCCTGCGGGTTGTTCGCTGGTCGTCACTCTGACGAGGAGCGATGCTTCGTTCGTGGCAGGGTGGACGTTGGCGTCTTTGTTGGCTTCACTCGCAACTCGGCGACTCAGAGTAGCGATTCTTCTCAGGTGGTGCAGACCTCGGCTTGCCCTGGAGATCTCTGGTGGGCCTTAGCCCGGAGACGAGATGGGCTCAGAGCCCTGGCGATCTGCTGGTGGAGCCAAAGCCCTGGCGACGAGGTGGCCCTCGTGGCCCGGATGGTCTGTGATGGGGGCCAGAGCCCCTGACGATCTGTGTTGTATGGATTTTCCTTCGGTTTATATCGGAAAATTCCACTCGGCTTCCCGAGTTGTTCAAAAGCTGTGTCATAAAACCTTCCTGTGGGGGTGGACCATCTGCGTCCGTGTGTTTCGCGTGCGTGTTTGTCCGTGTGTTTCGCGTGCGTGTTTGTCCGTGTGTTTATTAGCTTTGAAGACACAGCTGTGTGTGTCGTTCTGGAAGAAAGGGGTGGGGGTGGGGGCCTCGTGTCGGCTGCTTCAGAAGTTATCCATTAGCCAGACCGATGATTCGCGTCGAGTTATAAAAAAAAACATTCGAATCCATGTTTTGTTACTGAATAATATTTGTCGCGAAAACCTACGCGTTAAGAGAGCTTAATTATTCCCTCCCTTGCTCTGGGATCACATCCTTTGTCTCACACAGCTTAAGTTGGTTTGGTTTGGAAGTTGAAATGCGACTTATTTGCTGCTTGGTTATGCCGAAACCGTGTTCACGATGTTTCATCGTGACCCGATCTCCCATGGAAATGTCATTTCCTGGCTTGTGCAATTTTTGCTGTCCGTGTTGTGGGAAGACAAAGGCGGTTGTTTCCACGGTGGGAGCACCCGGCGTATGCTTATTTATTCGAAGGCGTGTGTTAATTTCCTTTGAGCCCTTGCCCCAACTTTTATGGGTGTCATTTCCTGGCTTGGTGCCTGTGTGTCGTGATCCTCTCGGAAAGACAAAGGCGGCCGTGTTGCTCGCTTCCCATGGGTGTTGTGTTTGGTTAATTTTGAGAGCCTTCTCCGCCCTTGATTTCTCTTCTACTTTAATTCCGTACTTATTATTTGACTTCTTGTGATTATTTGATCTGATATCCCGGCTAGGAATTTTGTTTTGGAGCGAAATCGATGCCATAATTATTCTTTGATGCTTCGGCCCGGCCGTGTAGATATTCTTTAAAGGTAAATAATGTCAGTATTTTATTAACAATGATGGGTCGCGATTCTGGTGCAGATTGTCGTCTGGTTTTCAATTGGAGTGAGGATGGATACTGTTTGCTTAATCTTTATGGTTAAGTTGGTAACTTGTGTATTTAACATGGTTCAAAGACCCATCTGTGCTTTTTGTCGTCGATGCTGTTTCTTTGTTAAGAATATAATTATCTCTTCCTCCGTGTCTCCTGGTTCTGCAACCCCCCGCCTGCAATTCCCCCCCTCCCTTGTTCCTCTTGTGTGAATTTAGGGGAGTTTTTATTACCTTATTGCCCCCCTTTCATGTCCTCTTTCCTTTGAAATGAGGTATGCGCGCATCTGTGGAAGTGTGGGGGCCTCTGTGGAAGTGTGGGGGCGTGTTCGTTCCCACGTGGCCGCGTCTATTAAAAAAACGATATTATCTATGTTGGCAGAATAATTCTTAAAAAAATATATAAAAAGGGGGTACATACACAACAGTACCCACCCCCCGTAGGTTTGGGTTTTCTCCAGATACTGCGGTTTTCTACAACACCTAAAACTCAATGGAATGATGTAATGCATTCTGCAATGTAAGGGATTCTTGAAATCGTATCACAATTGATAAGTATCGCATCAAAAAACCCGATTCGGATTGGATGCATACAATTGTGGACCAGATCCGTTTATTTTTTCGTAAAATACACCTCAACTGAACAACTGAGCAATTCCAGTACATAACTCATGGCCATATGTCTAACGGCAAGACAAACTTTGGCTTCTGCGTTCGGGTAAGAGAAGATGGACCACTGGGTATTTTACTCAACAGAAGGGGGAAAACACCTTAGACGGTAGCGGATAAAGACGGAGGAAATAGAGCAACGAATTGAACAGCAAATATCAAAGACAGAAAGATCACAGCTGCTAGCCCTGGTTGAGAGGAAGGGATCCAACAAGAACAGCAACAACGATGGATCATCATCTGAGGAAATTGCGTCTGACTGAAAAAAATATATAGTTTGTTTGCCATATTTTGAAAAGGGTGCACTCTCTTTGAAACTGATTTTATGTGATCCTTTACAACATTTGTTTTTCTGTAAGCCACCCATAAAAGTTGCAAATTCATCAGCTTTCCACTCCAGAGCAAAACAATACATGACAAAGCAATATTTCGTTTCAGAAATAAGACTTCAAGCCAAAACACGCACATGGTTCAGCAACTGCACGGAGCTGCTGACGATCTAGGCATTGTGTAATGTTATTAGTTGCAGACCCAGATGCCTGGTGAGCGTCATGTTGGCTGATCTGAATGGCCTTAATACACTTAGTTTTTTTATATTGCTCCATTATTGAGTTAAAAGGGTACACGTTTTCTCCCTCCACCTAGTTGTTTTGTAAAAGGCACACGTATTATCCATTACCAATGCATTGCAAAAAAAATGTGCAATGTTAAACAGCGCTTTTAAAATAGCATTACTCAACATGGCTGCAATTATTCTGTATAATCGATTCAAAGCATGGATAAACATAAACATAAACACGAATAAGCATTGTACTGTATCACTGTTGTAAAGCGTTAATGCCATACATATATCTTGGCTCAAATGAGCGTTATGGCTTTGCTGTTTTCCCGTTTCTAGCACTGAGCCATCAGTGATCATTCCATGTGGCTGATGGTGGGGCCAGTCTTCCCATAGGACAGCCGCTGTTAGATGGTGGTGCTCATTCTAAAGACCTCCCGCATGGATGATGGGCTGAGTTGAATATGCGGTGTTCTGAATTGCAAAAATCCAACATTTTAAATCCTGAATTTATCCCTGTATATTTGTCACTATTTAATGCCGAGCACAATTTAAATTAATGTATGAGGAGTCAACGATGGTCGTCACTGAATTCCTCTTACACTGATAGGTCGACTGCGCCTCAAATGAGTACCTGGTGCTGTGTGTAGTAAACATCATTACTGGGAAGACAAAGACGGTCGAGCGTGGTACTTGCCACCCACCCCCTTGTGTACTGTGCTGGCCTTCATAGGTGCTCGCTAACAGCACTTTCCCCCAAAAGTCTATTAATGCTTTTAGGGGAAGCTTTGTCTTTGTTACACCAATAACAATATTTAAAGTGTCATTGAGTCGGTAACTTACATATTTGAGTAAAACGTTTTGTCAGTGTACTGTAATTAAGTAAAACATAAAAATTAGGGGGCTTTTGCAAAGAAGTTAAAAGTGTTTCCCGCAGAGACAGTTGTGTAAACGATGTAATGTCTCGGTTATTAACGGTTATTAATGTTGGAAGGTCCACATGATGAGGCACTTGTCAAGGTGAATGTATAAAATACATTTGTTCTTGATGTATTATACGTGTCAGCATTTAACAGTACTATGCTTCAGAGGAGAGAAGCATTATATATAAGGTAGTTTATTTCGTAAGGAGAGAAACACTAGATATAAGATAGTTTATTTCGTAATACTATTTGAAAGTTTATAATTCAACACGGAAGGGAATTGCACGAACCAATCAGCTATTGGTTAAGATTGTATCATTGCGTTTTGTTTAACTGATGTCTTTTGTGTTGTCAAACTTTTTTTTTTACGTGAGCTCGGCATAAAGTGTTTAATTAAATGCAGTTCCTGCAGTGATGTCACCACTGATTAATGCTTTTATCTTCGAACAGAAACAAGCCTCCCCGCTGCACCTGGCAGTTCAAAACAATTACCCCATCATTGTGACCTTCTTGGTGGAAGCAGAGGCCAATATTAATTTGGTTGACTGTGTAAGTTTAAGTTGATTGTGATATTTAATGACCTTGTCCCCTGCTCACATCCCTGACCTCATTTTTTCCCGTCTTCCCAATACCGCATTCTCTCTCATGTTGACTCACGCTTATCGCTTCCTCTCATGCTTTCATCTCAAACTCAGGGATATTTTTTTGTTTCGTCCAGTAAATACAGATGATCTCGTTGCTATCTCATACCATCACACGAAATGTTTAACGTAATTATATTTGGATATTTTTTTATGTTTTTTGTAGAACGATCACATTTAACAATTGTATTAGTATTAATTATGTCGCTGTGTTTTTTCTGGTTTTACACATCTTTGGGTTACCATGAGTAATTTAACGTGGAAATTATTTCTACTATGTTTTACATTAGCCATTTAGTGCAAATTTCAATAAGCTAAGCAAGGCAACACCTTTATAAAATGCGTTTTTTTTCACAGCTCAATACAACTTTGTATATTCAGATACAATGTAAAGTCCTGCGCATACCTTTAATCGTGATGTGCCTGCTGTACAGGTAGTCGGTTTAATAACACGTGATATTGTATCTATTAAAGGTGTAACCGTGCCCCTTGTAATGAATATGCTTGGATAAAAAATATCACTTATAACGTATTGCTGTAATAATTATTCTCTAAGTGCACAGTACTTATTGCTGTAATAATCCAAGATAAATATATTGTCTCCATATTTCAGTGAGAGGACCAGCGTCTGTATATTGGGATAGTACAGCAAGATGGATACACTGCAAAATCCCATTTTTTTCATGCCCAAATTTACTAAGACCCCGTCTATTTTTGGGCTCGGATAGATAAGATAATTCTGTTGGTGGATATTTGATAGAAAACTCAATTCGAACAGCACAATAAATCTATTTTGAGAGGCAGTTGTATTTAGATGCTTTGTACATTCAAACTGCATTTTATTGTACGATATCGAATCAGTGCATGCGATTAATATTCTTGTTTTTGTTATTTCAATTGTTTTGGATAATAGAGGAATCAGACAGCCCTGCACATTGCAGCAGAAACTGGCTTCCAGGAATCGGCAGACTTACTGTTGGCTGCTGGGACTGACTTGGCGGTATTAGACAAGGTAAGGTGACACTCAAGAGACACTACTGACTACTTCATTGATACAAACACCAAGCTGGTGTCAAAATTGTCAATGGGGGAGGGGCTCACCTGTAGTCTGAAATTTCCTCACCCCCAAACATCTAGACTGCTGACTCCCTGCCTCTGTTTAAGTCCAGGGCTCAAGAGGTTCATCTTCTACTTCATTTATGACCGTCTCCTATGAGTCGACTATATAAAAAAAAAGATCTCTCCAACTTTTATGGTTATCACAAAGTACATAACCCACTTTTTGTGCAGCATCTTCAGCTGCAGTTAGATGCAAATTGTAATGTCATTTTGTGGCACGACAAAAAATAATGATTATAACCTTGAGACCAATTCCAGTTTTGACTTGGGGTGCCACGGTGGCAAGATGACAACTACCTCGCCTGGTATACTGGAGGTCACGGGTTTGATCCTGACGCTGACGCCTGTATATTTAAAGTTTTCATGTTCTCCCCGTGGTCACGTTGATATCTCTGAGTCCTTCCGTTTTTCCTTCCACATTCTCTAAACATGCGTTTAGAGAATGTGACTGCAATACATTTACACGTGATAAGCCACTTCGTTGGGCTATCATTTGTGGCCAGGTTGGTTATGGAAAAGAGCTATATAACCCAGTGGACCTTACCTGGTAAAATAAACATAGTTTAGGCTTGAACTGTATTTTAATTTCAGATTATCTCTCATTTTATTCAACTTTTTTTCGTATACTATTGGTTATGTCTATTACAGTTAACAACGCTTACAATTGTAAGGGGGGGAAACGATCAGCAGAAAAACCTGCCTATGGTGCTTCTTGGTAAGGTGAACCATAGCATTTACAAATAAGTTTCAAATTGCCAAAGCACACCCAGAATTAAAGAGGTGTTCATTTCATGATGTGCACTGTTCTAGATTAAACGACGTGCATGGATCGATGGTCAGGTCTTACAAAACAAAAAAGGTTACTGGCATTGGGTATATACTCGGAATGTCGTATAAGAGCTTTGTATAATGTTCCCTTAGTTATTTGAAGAATAGTTCTGCATTTTGATCTTGTTGTTATGCAATCTCTTGACCCTAAAATACCATCCGGTCATCTAAATAATCGAATTGTCATAGCATTGTTGAGAGGTGCTTATTTTGTACCAACCACATGAAATGCTTTCAGGAATCTGTCAAATGTGGCTTGAATGCAAGCCAAGTCTGCTGGCATCCTTTTCACATCATTCAGAGAATCCCCCAGGGATCCATTAAAGTGAATCCAACCAATCAGGGGCCATGGGCTCAATGGCCTTGATGTAATAACATATCCGTGTCCTCGTACTAAGAGCCGAAGGAATATGGAATCGGCACATATAGTGGGCCAGTGTGTGTGTCTTTGTCCTTCTGATCGACCTCTTTCGCTCACTATGCGTTTCTTCTGCCGATGTCTCTTCCTCACTTCTTTCACTGTGTTGTAAGTATGCACGTTGAACTTCTTTCACACCGCACTAAGGTGCGGGGGAAGGACAACAAACTAAGCACAATAAGCAATTCTAAGGAAATTAGTTTTCTATTTAGAGTGTTCTCTCTGTGCTCCTGCCTTATCGCCCATATTTTTTTCTATCTCCTCTCTCGCACAATAATGTAACTCCAGTCTGCTACCTCTGAAAAATGAGTTACACTTTGTTATTTAAAGCCCAAATTTAATCTTGGGCCTGTTGACTATCTTTTTAGCTGGCAGGGTTGTTATACTCACAGCGCTGGGGAATGTATAATTCCATGCATGGGAACGCCCATATTGGCAAAGCGATGCTCTTAATTAATTAAAAGGTCCACCAGCTTTAACTCAAGTGATTTTAATTTGGAATGGTGTGAGGACATACCCTTTGCTATGTCTCAGGCAGCTTGTTGGTCACAAAACTTGCCGAGTCAGTCTCCTGCTGGCTGATGTGTCCAATATCTGCGTTTTTTTACTCCCCGATATGTTAAATGTGTCTACATACGTGGCCTCTCGATGAATCCTCAGACAGCAATCCAACTGGTTGATTGAAGGGGACAAGACGCAACACCATTAGCGTTCACCTACCACCCATCAAATCCTGATACTGTACGAAAAAATATATCGTCCATAACTTACATATTTTGAACTACCGCACACTAACCATTTTCAAATCACAACTTCTCTCCGCATGTACACAATTCTGTGCAATACATCATTGTCAATAGTGTAGCAGGTGCCTGTCTTTTTCACTGGGGGGAGGGGGGGAAGAAACAGCACTTGTACCTCCAGAAAAACCAACACAAATTGTAACATCACATGTCGTGTTCCCTTCTTTAGGCACATTGGCCCTGTTGCTTTTCATGATCAACTTGAAATCAGTTAGCTCTGTGGAAATTAACTCCTGTTAATGGGTAAATAAGCATGAATTTCCCTCAAGAATTGTGAACTTATCTGCTTATTGAATAAAAATCTGCCACCGATAATGGTGGGTTCTTAGAAATAGTCACGACCAGGTTTTTTTGCTGTAAGCACGGGACAGTGAGCGGTGCTCGTGCCGCTACAGTTCTCTGCTGTGAGTACAATGTCTTTAAAACAACAACGCTATGCCTCTCTAAATAAAATTAACGCTAACCGCAAGCACATTCCGAGATTCAGCGGTGAACAGGACCCACCCTGCAAATTACAGACGTCTCGAAACAGGAAAGGGTTAATAGTAGTTAATAGTGAATTGGCACGTTTTGTTCACGTGACAAACCTTCATTAATAATTGGCTGTGTCGGGTGGTGGGTTCACGACACATTTATATTTCTGCGATCGAACCCAAAAACCTTGATTTTGACCAGTTCTGAAAATAATTTTACCGCGTTATTGTTTCATATTGAAATGCCATTCTTGTCCACATTGTTTCTTTCAGCAAAAGAAGAGCTGCCTGGAGGTGGCAGCCAGGGCTAACCAGGTCAACCTGGTGGACATGATCATCAAAGCCGATCGCTACTTCACTCGCAGAAAGGTAAAACATGCAATCTTTAGTTTCCTGCTTGGAGATAACACTTTTGCACTTTATTGAATTTATATTTGCAATGGGGAGAGCTTTGGTGCAGTGGGTTCGCTCAAAGCCATATGAACCCGGAGATTTGACCGCTATTCTCGGCCACGGCTAACATGAGTGATATTTGAACCAATCTTGGGCCCCCCTTCACTGATCAGCACAAACCCCATCTAGAACCCACAGCAGGGAGGAGGTATTCATTCTGCAGTGGCATAAAACGGAGTTGACAAGTATTATGTTACTATTGTGTGCATCGAGTCTAATGTGTTTTTCAAAGCGATTAAAACATCTTTATATGTTTTGGTGACCTGTATACACACAGGAAACTGATTGTAAGTACGTTGAATAGATTCGGTCCATAAAGAGGTAGAACTAGAGCAGTGGTCGATCAACCAACGTAGCAATAATAGCCTTTTTATTACAATTCGGTAAAAAAAAACCTTAAGATCCGTAATGCACGTGAATATGAGACACGGGGGGTCCTTGATACAGAGCGCCACGAAGCGGTCCTCAAAGAAGCCGCAGGCAGCTCCAGAGCCGCAGGTTGCTGACCCATGAACGAGAGGAAACCTCCTCTGATCTGTTATGATGTGGGGCGATGGGGTTGTAGATACGTGATGATACAAAATACATTTCACATAAATTCACCTGCGGACCATGTTATCTGAACCTCGGCATCCCGGGGGTTGCCCTGCAACACCTCGCACGTGTGTCAATTTAGCGCGTGGGTTTTCGCAACCACTCGTTACCGAAGTGTGATCGCTCTGATTATTATGGCGTGTGTTTAACACACCTTTCGAGCTTTCGCCACGCACGACTGCGGGCATCCAGAAGATGCTGAAGAGAACACATGCTCAACATGCAGACTAACCCAAACGAACACACGTGGTCCACGTGGATTCACACGGGTGTGTCGTGATTCGGAGTGACCCAAAAATAAACGTTTAAATGTTTTATTTATAAATGGTCAAGTTTTACAGTGACCATGTCCATGTTGCTGGCAATGAACGGAGAGTTGTCACGCCTTTAGCTCGTGAGTCCCATGGTGTTTTGGAGCCGGTGGTCTCTGAAGATCCCATCGTAGTGCGAGACTTGTGTGAACATACACCAGGAAGTGTTGGGCTTCTGACTGGCTATTTGAAGTTGTATTCAGAAGGAAATTTTAAATTTCATTTTAGGAACATTTTCAGCCATGGAAGGAGCCCTATCTTTGTGGAGAGTGAGTGAGCTTTGAACTTCTCACAATTAAATTAGAAGGGGTCGATAGCACTCACTTTTTAATGTGGCGATTGCTCTTTGTTTAGGGTCTGTGGTGAAGTGCACTTAGCCATAAACTTAAACCGATTGTAAAAACATTTCTTTTATCATATCTAAAAGCAATGACATCCCTAGATACTTAACTAAAAGTGCATCACGGGGGCAACATGGAGGGAATTTATATTTTAAGAGAGGTTTGATTCAAATCACTTTATAGATAGGGGACAGTGAGGAAGGTCTTGAGCCTGAACTTGAACAGGGTCATGGAGTTGGCAGCACGGATGTCTTGGGGGGGGGGGGGGGGGAGGATGGTTTTCCAGATCGTAGGGGAGGCATTGTGTCAGGTGCAACCTTAATTTACGTGGAGGTTGAGGGTTTTGCCAGAAGGCATTGGTTGCTTGAGTGGAGAGCACATGGCAGTTATGTAGGGAAGTAGAGTGAGACGTGAAGGGGGATGGAGGGGGGTAGGGGGGAGTCCATGGACGATCTTGAAGATTGGTGAGAAAGATCGTGTAGTGTGAACTCAAGCTCAGATTGGGGCTCAAATAGAGAGATCTGAGGCCTGCGGTGTTGTGGCTTTGTTTACAGTGAAACTTTGCATGCACAGGACAGACGTATTTTGGGGGTGATCTGGATTAATTGGAAGTTTGACGGTTAGGGATTTGGGGAATCCATCGAGGAGCGAGTTGAAGGAGTCAAGACAAGAGGCGGCAATGCAAATGCAGCAAGGAAATGGCGGGTGCTGGAAATGTTTCTGAAGTCGGGACACGAATTCACGACCAAATTGTGAAATATAAAGTGATTTTTTTGCGGGTCTTCAGATGAACTGAACAAAAATCCCAATTAATCCCCTGGTCCCTGTAGATCGTATTATTTGTAGTTAAGCAGAAAAATAGTACTACTTTACAGTTGAAGGAATAGTGTATACTCGCAATATGCTTCGGGCTCCAAAAAAAAATCACAGTTTAACATTTTATTTTTCGCCTTCTGAAATCCCAAGCAAGAGGACGGCAACAACGAGGAGAGTGTCCTTGGAGCAGTCACGTTCCGTCCAGACCGACGAGCCGAGACGCAGCACCTGAGGTCCGTTCTGTGGGACCTGGCGAGGGACAAACTCCGGCCAGAGGAGTGGCAGCAGCTTGCCACACATTGGAAATTTACGGAGGCACAGATTCAGGCCATCCAGCAGCAGTGGGAAGGTGAGGGCCTACTACATACAGCGCTGTGTCAGTCTGATAATCTTTCAATGGCAATGCATCACTAAGTCTCAAGGATCAGAACATAAATTTTTGCAATAGTCATGTAACTTAAAAAGAAAATCTGATTTCAGATGGCAGGGAAAATGAAGGTGGTCATGTTTTTACAAAAATAATGACGCATGAAAAACTTTACTTGCAGCAGAGTAATAGTGTCCATGTGCTCCCACTCTCACTGCTGTTGCATTCTATCTCCTCCCTCTCTTTCTCATAATAGTCTATCAGTACTACTCCACTGCTGAATAGCAAGTCACACCTCACGATTCAAGTCAGAATTGACACCACAACCCTTGCATTCTCCTGTTGGCCTGCAGATTTTGGGGAGTGGATTTGCATCTCTATGCCCAGGGAACATCCCTTTGGCATGCGACCAGGGCAAAGCAAGAATGTGCCCCCTTGTTATGCATTCTAATACTCGACCACATTCGCCACACAACTTGGCTGGGGTGGGCGTCCCCACACTCTACCTTACCACACGGGAACTGCTGATCGACCTTGGTGTCCCTATTCATGCTGCTGGGTTGACGGCGGCAGACATTGAATAAACTTGCCCTTTGTTTCACCAGCTGCACCGGACTGCAAGTCTGGTGCAGCTGCTAACCTTTACACCAAGGGCAGCATTCCTTGTTAACAGCCTGCTTGGTGTACATCTAACCATTGTTCATAGGATACCTCTGATACTGTGCACCGTGCCTGCGGGCTTGGTAGGAAAAAAGACCTACAAGGAGCATGCCCACCGCATGCTGCTGGTGTGGCTGCATGGAGTGCTGGAGTTCAACGAGAACCCAATCAAGGCTCTGTACGAGGGGCTGGTTGGCATTGGGCGCAGGGACCTGGCAGGTATGACACCCACGCACGCAGGAACCCACCCAGAATTACAGACGATGTTTAAAAATGAGCAGCGCAGATAATTAATTCATAATAGGTATTTTGGGTTAGATTGTGCAAATATAAATGTCGTTAAACCCACCACCACCCGACACACATATTTACGCGATCTAACCAAAAAAACCTCAATGGATAATATCGTTCGCGAAAGCCTAAGTGTTAAACATATAAGTGATTTCATAACTTGACACCGAATCGATTTTTTTCATAGCGGACGTGATCGTCGAGCTGAAATAAGGTCGTGAAACCCTCTTCCAGCTGAGATAGCCAAACAAGGAGATTGTCACGTGTACAAGTGTTATATACGACAATTATTACTGTTTTCACTCAACAATAATTTGAATTCTCATCGCAAAATTTTGCATTTAGAAACGTTTACCCTTAAATAACCTTGATTGCATCCGATCACATCATGTCTCACAGCTCAGCAAGTTTCAACCTACTTAGCATTCAGAAGGAAGCCTGCCTGGGAACATTTGGTATTGTAGGTTTGGGCTGCAAATGGCCAGAAGATGGCAGTACAGAAATGAATTATTAATTCTATCTGTGCAGCTTAGCTTCTTACCCTCCTAGAGGCATGGTTCTTTTTTTTGATACACCAGATTTATCGTCATAAAATCAAAAACATGGAATTAACCAATCATCCCAATGCAAGACTCCTGAAAATGCCGAGTCTCAGCGAAGCTTTCCTCATTAATATGATCAATCCTGGCTGTAGTGGCACTGCACGATGAACCCGGAGACCAGTTTGATTCCGGTCAGAATCAGAATATGTATTTAGACTGGAGGAATCAAATGAGCTATGACGCTTTTTCACAGATCTCCAGTCGGTAACATCAGTGGCATATGTATATCGTAATTTAATCCTGGACCCATTGCTTTCAACAACCTGCCCTGACCAGCATGGTGAAACATAGTCAAGCTCTCATAACCAACGTGGCATCAAGTAGCGCATTGACATAGACCTGTTAATTCATAGTTGCTACACTATGCTTCTTATACCTGGCCCGTTACAGCGATAACTGGCATACAGAGTAAATGTGTATTTGTTTTCTTTTCAGATTTAATGAGGAGAAAGGCACATGAAGAACATGTGGCAGGAAAGAAGTGTACAGTGTCGTGACATTTGCATCGTCGTTCAGCGGAAAGACAATGAAGGCCACGCCTACTGAGAAATAATAAACACGCAACAGATTATGTATTTTCATAAATGCCTAATAACAATATTGCATTGTTTACTTCAATATTTACAAGAAACGCATACTTGTAGAATGCACCAAAGTGCATTAGCATTGTACATTGGAACTGGCGAGTAGGCATTTTATTAATTACATGCAATGCAATTGCCTGTGTATCTGACCGGATATTGCAGTGAGGGATTACATAACTTTTATATTGCTCTAGTTTCTCCTAGACTTGTTTTCATATATAGAGCATAACTTTTATTCAGTGGAAGCGCAGGTCAGGATGAGAAGTTTCAACCAGATTGGTGAAACCAACGTTTAGTTACTTGTTCATGTTTACATGTTGAACTTCTTGCGCGCACCGTACTTAGGCAACCGTGCTAATCGGAGATACATGACACCAATATGGGACCTTTGTCCAAGAATCAAAGTATGAAAATATACGAATAGGTTTTACTTTTATTTTGCAAGGAATAAAGCCTGCGTTTACCACAAGTACTCGTGGTGAACATGCAAACAGACTAGACCCTAAAGAAGGCTGTCTCTGGTGTAGGCCAATTAGTTTCAAAGACAATATATATAATTATCAGAGCATGTTTGTTTGCATGTTCACCACAAGCACGTGTGGTTAATGCAGACTTGATTCCTCGCAAAAGGTTTCTATTTAGTGTTTGAACATCTTAACGCCTGTTTTATTACCAACGTGTAAAACCTATTCTTATTTTTATACATGACACGTCTGCATTTTATGCAGTATATACATAACGATATCTATATTTTGGATTATTTACATTTCTGTAGTATAATTTTTTTTAAACAAATATTGTATAAGGCTCCATCTTTGGCCTATTGCATTTCTCCATCTATCATCTTCCATAAAGCTGAGAACTATTGAAGATGCAATGCACATCTTTGTGTTGTCAAATCTTTTTTCCAGCCTATATTTTTTTCTGTTGGTATGGATGTTCAAAATTTACAGAATTGATTTATTGCCTTAAGGCAAACTCATGGGTTCCCATTGTGTAAAGTTGATCTAAACTACAAAAGGGCCACATATGCGGTGATGTTGAGCTGGTGGCCTTCATACGACTGAGGGCTTTTGTACATCTAATGCACACCTTTGTGTTGCTACGTCTACCTCGCTTTTGGCAAAAGTTTGGCTTTACATAGACATTGGCTACACTGAATCCAGGTCATCTTTCAATCTTCCTTGTGTTCGTCTGGAAAAGTTGAAACTGCCTAAATGAACACTTAAGTCATCCTCACTCGCAAAGCGAGCCCTCAATATATAGGGGTATTTGTATACTTGTGTGTACTATACTGGAAATGTCATCAATATGCGGTTTCTGAAGCTACGGATGCTGCTGCTCAAAATTTTTTTGAAGGTATTACTGATGACATTGGTGATGGTCGTGGAGATGGGATTCGGGTGTGTAGTTGTGCCAATATTCACTGCACCAGGCATCAATTTCATTTAGCGTTAACCTAATGCTCAGAACAGGTACTAATTCCCAGCCACATCTAACACAAGTAGGAGGTGAAATTGTATTTATTCCTGGGCCTCCCCGAAGGTCAAGTCAGAATTAAATCAGTGCCTGGTGCAGTGTCTCCTGGAGAGACAAAGGCAACCTGGTGGAGTAGTGGCCACACTACACCTGGTTAGTGATCAGAGATGTAACTCACAAACCGGCTGGGCTGTGAGATAACCATGTGACAGTACAACACAGAACTTTGTGTCAGTTATTATGGTTTCTTCCTGCATCGTTTGCATTGTTATTCTGGTTTATTCCTGCATATTTTGCATTATATTCATATTCAATACCGTCACCAACAGCAACAGAAAACACAATAACATAATTATAAAAGATTTTTATTTTTATAGAATCATCCTTGTTTCCATCTCTTTCATATTCGTCATTTGATTTAAGTGCCTATGCCTCCACACCTTTTTGACAAACAAAATAGTACTCAGGTTTTTTCAGAAATTCTGTAAAATAAGTTCTCAACTGGAGGAGGAAAAACTGGCACATCAGTGGGGTGGAATGGGCCACCAAGCCCTCTTGGGCACTGTCGGTACAATCCACACTCGCAAAGCCTGACAGATGAGATTCCACACGATGGGCCACCGTAACCGCACTACGAACCATTCCTTAATTAGCAACACGAGTCCTTGTTGGTGTGGAATCAGACCCTGCTGAATTTCAGACTGAAATATATTTGTGTTAAATGTCCACAAATATTACTGCAAGCAAAATGATTGTTCATTGAAGCCGCATTATCTAATTTCAGCCTTATACTTGGTGGCTCATAATGGCATGGCCCAGTTTTCAGTTAACGAATTCTTGCAACCACTCAGACATTTGTAGAATTATCAGTGACCTGTTAGAAATTCCATAACATTGTAATATATGCAAAATTAGGCTATTCTGTACCTGTCTCTTTTATAAATGAAAGCCCAGAAAATAGATTCCAACTGCACAATACCTACCACAATTTCCTTCATGAGCTTTCAAAAAACTTTATTAAAAGTAATTTCCAGTCAATATAAACACAGTTTGGGAAACACACGTAAAAATATATAGGGCAACAAGCATTCTGGGATTAATAGCATAGAGCTCAGGAGAGCAGCCTGAGCAAGTTACAAGACAAATACGGTGCTATTTTCACGCAAGTATAAACTTATTGGAATGGACACTAACTGTATGGTAATGTCGATCAGTTTAAGACATGGATCATGTTACACGTGAAAATATTTATTGTGCCCAACCGATTAAAGTTTTTTTACTTCCATTAAAATGTGATAAGTGCAGAGGTGGCCGAGTGGCTAAGATGTCAGTGCTGAGCTACGAATGCTGAGGTTGGACAAATCCAGACAGCTGCCTGTGATTCAATTGGTTCAAGTGTAGTGAGTTGATTGTTTTATCCCAGTCACTGACTGCACAAAAGGCCATCACATAAAAATTGGTCATGTACTTCATTTGGCAACATTCCAGCCTTGAATTCAAATAAGGTATGTGCGACGTGTAACATACTTTGCTTTCATATGCAGTGCAAGTGAGAAGTGCTGCCCTCTACTGGCTGTGGACCGGAGGTCACTTGAAATTATTTCAGAAGTAGAGCTGTGATATCCACTTCCGTGCACTGTTTGGCAATACTAGAAGTTTTACTGCTCTGGGAGGGATCGGAATTTATACTGTCTACCAACACGTTGTGATAGCACAATCAAGATACATATGGGGGAAATGACAAAAACAAAGTTGTGGAAGTAGACATTTTGTGATAAAATATTGAAGTATCACATTACTGGAGTAAAAAGACCAAATACAGTTTCCTCATCACTGTTTTGCCATGTTGGTATAAGTGCCTTAAAATATATTTTACAGTACATGCTTCCACTGAATTTTTGTGATAAAGATAATGATCAATGTTACAAGTTAAATTGATTTAAACTGGAAAAGGTTAACCTGGATTAGCAGTTATATTTACATGGTTATTTAAAAAGTAACGTGGATAATTTGTGCATTTGAAAGAAAAGTAACACAGAAATTAAAATATTTCATCTTACCTTTAAATATGGAAAATGTGCAAATGTCTTTGAAAGAATAATTTTGTTTTATAAAAAACAATTACATTATGTTCTTAAACAGAATTCATTCCATCAAAAGGATTGAGTACTGTAAATGAATTAAATAAAAACGGCACAATCACTGAAACATGTCAGATTTCACATTTAAAATGTCAAATCTTACATAAAATCTTAAGTATTTAACTTTAAGATGACCGCTTTGCCAGTAAATCCTGTAAAAGTTTACGTCACAATCTTACACATTACAAGCTGGCATGGTCATTACATTAGTTGTTCTCCTATAAAAGTTAACAAGAAATGGTAAAATCTCGGAATTAAATACAGTAAAAAACACGATTTAAAAAAACATAGAAAATCAACCATGAAATGGAAAACTTGACAAGCACAGACTATAAATTTAAGACCTTAAACAGTTATTGCTCCATGTACGATGTGTTGCAATTGATGGGGAGCGCAAGCTGTACACACGCCACTGTTAATCCACCACCCTGATGGTGTGCGCGCCTGAAGATGAAAGGGCCCCGCCGCTAACGGCGCCGCCACCCTTTGCGCCGGGCCCCGGCGCTTTACCGTCTGAAGCACCGGCGCCGACTGGCACCGAAGCGGAACGTGGGTGTCGCATGGCCGTGGCGTGTCCTACCGTTTGCTGTGCCACACAAAAAAAAAACAGAAGAAATGCCACACTGTCGGTCATCTGTTGTTTTTTTCACGCGCTTTTGCGGTTGTAATGTACCCTTGCGGTCATGGTGGGCACCGTAAACCTGCGTGGCAATGAGACGCCCAGTTTTTGGAGACACTGGAAAGCAGTGTCTCCAAAAATGTAATTGACTTAATGCTAAAAAAAATACTACTCGTCAGCAAAAAATACAATGATTACACAACTGAGTTAACTAAAATGTGATTATTTTATCATTAACAATTAAGTAATCTTGTTGCTATTAGTACAATTAATCATGTTATTGCTTTTGTTTGCTTTCTACATACTGGTCTTACTCCTTTTCATGAAATTCAGTGGAATGTTTTTATTTTTGATTGGTCTTTGGTTGTAATTACATTACTTTTTGTAACTATACTGATCACGAATTTTACTTTGCTGACATGTTCCACATTTTGTGGAACTAGATGAAGTTTCATATCACAAGACTCTTGAGAAATGGCAGTAGCTGGGTTTGACATTTATCCAGGATGTTCTTACATATGCATGCTGATTAGGGTATGTAATCAGTTTTTTCTCCAATTTTAGAGGCTCAATCACTCTTATTCAAGTAAAGAAATCTTTTTTTATTTCACCTCAGGACATTGTGATAATGGTACCACGCCATTAGGTGAATAAGGTTAATTTAGAACTCCCGCAGCCTGTGAAGATCACATTATGTCAAGGAACAGCCCCAACCAGATGATATCACTAAACTACTTTTTCCATTATAAGCCTCTTAGATAGATGGTGTAACTTTTTCCACTGCATATTGAATGTTAATCAACTAAACTTTTGGTTCTCAACATTGGAATTTTTATATATTTCTTTTTATTTGCTACCACTGTGGACACAAAATCTACATGTTGCAGAAATATTTTTTGGAGGTGATACCACTGTCATTCAAAAGTATTCAAATAGTTCTGTGATCTGTGAAATGCCACAACGTATTTCTACAAGACATTAAAATTACTTTTGAGTAACTGTGCTCAGCCCATCAATTTCCGCGACATGTCAGAACCCAATTCAACCACAGGCGACTGCTCACCCAGTATCTCAGAGGCGAGAGGCAATCAAGGAACCTCACTATAGAACCTTTGATTATTGAAGGATGTTTAACATCTAGAATAGTTGTGAGGTTTTAAAATTCGTACAGGTTTATGTGTCCAAAATGCAAACATAATCAATTATTCAAGTCTTGCGGTATTGCGCTGGTAATAACCATTTTCATAATCTAATACATATATTACCGTTATTAGAAAATAACTTGCTTAAGCAACATGCATTTGCAAAGTACTGGAACATTCTTCTAAATTAAGATCTGGTTTGCTTATAAACTTTGAACATGACCCTTACAATACTAATAGTTCAGCAGCACAAATTGCTAAGCATCCGTGCAAAAAAGAAAATAATTTCATGTACATGAGCTCAATGTTGAGAATGTAAATGCACTGGACTACATGGACTAATTTACGTCTTAAGAGCCGATTAAATTATCCTGCTACAGCTTAAAGAATCCCCCAATCTATTTAGCCTACGACCCCAACGCACCTTTGTGACCGGGTGGTGCCGTTCAATCACAACGGTGCTCATTGGCGGTGCCAGCCCCACCATGCCCCGGCCAAATCTTGCAGCAGGCTCCACTGCTGTTCTGCTTGCACGCCCAAGCCGCTCGGCCGGAAACGATGATGGAGGCCTTGCTGACGCAGGACGCCCTGCCTTCTGCTGAGCACCACCAACGACTCGTGCTGGTGGCTGGAGGGAGACGATAGAACATGTGCCACTTGTTAAACTATCTTTGTAATTTTACCAGGCAAGGCCCACTGAGCCTACAAAGCTCTTTTTCAGAAGCGACCTGGCCACAAATGATAGCTCAACGAAGTGGCTTATCACGTGGAAATTTATAGCAGCCAAATACAGTAAAACGCATGTTTCTAAAAATGCACGCGACCACGGGGGAGAACGTGCAAAACTTCAAATATACAGGCATCAGGGTCAATACCAGGTGATGTAGTTAACATCTCGCCACCGTGGCAACACAAAGCTTTGCACATTAACACCAAGTTCTATTATTGCTCAGTAATCAATGATCCGTAATACAGGTGGAAATAAATGATCCAGCCAACTGACACTGTAGTTTAAGGGTATGACTCAATAATACATTTGTGAGTTCAAATCTCAGTCTGGGATCAACTCAGCCAATTATACATTTTTGGGTAATATAAAAGAAGCACTATTTGATGAGAAGTCAATGAGGGATATCTTATGTATAGTAGTTTTTAAATTTAAATTCAACCAAAATAAGACTTCTGGAATCATCCTGTCAAAAGTATTTCATATAAAAAAATGTATATACAAATCTTTACATGTTTGCCGAGCGATTACCCATGAGATATCTGCAATAACTTACACTTTAATAAAACTTCAGGTTTCAAACTTAAGAAAGATTAATGGAGCTGTTTAGTTCTAGTAGGTAGATTCACATCTACAGCAACTTGACAGTTCCAGCAGTCCCTGTGACGTCAGGCATCACGAAAGCAAGGGCCCAATTAGGCTGGGCTCTCGCACAAACACAGCATGGAGCTGAGGTGTGGCAATGACAATATTGTATAATCAATATATACAAAAGGGAAATTTGTGAATGTGTGTCTATTCGAAATGTTTAGCATACTTCCCGACATGCAACAAACTTAAAATTTGGCATGTGGGTAGCTTCCAGACTGTACACAATGCAAAAAGTATAAAAATAGACTTTTGTATTTTTGGGGGGGGCGCAATAATGGATATATTTTGCACGGCAAGTGAGCAGTGACATCACAGCTGTGATGTTGCATGCATGCGGCAGCGTTACGCAGTGTGCCTGCTGACGTCACGCATCCCCCCCCCCCAACCCTTCACGTTGGCCGTGTATTCCGCACAAATGCGCGGCATAGCTGTCTCGATGTTCTAAGTCAACGCGACTATTTTCAGCTCGCTCTTAAATATAAAGCAGAAAATACATCTGTTTGTGTGAAGCAGCAAAAACTCTCGAACGCTGAGCTCTGACGTCACGAAATTTGCACAGCTTGTGCTGTCATGAATACGACTATTTTCAGCTCGCCACGTTATTCCCTTCCCAAGTTGCCTAAATCGACCTTATGTGTAAGTGGGTTAAGGTTGAATTTCCTTCAGTGAATTACATCCGATTTAGTTAAATTGATTTGTTTCGGCTTTTTTATTTCTTGCAAGCATCAATTTTTTTCAGGGTTTTTCAGTTAAATATAAGGGAATATGAAATTAATCCTTGACAACAATCCAAGTCCTGGGCGAAGCCGGGTAGTAAAGCTAGCAATACATAAAAAAAACTAAATTATATTAAAAACGTAACTGCAGGCAGTTCAAATGTACGTTAAATTCATATTTGTAAACAGTAAATACAGTATAGCGTCAATCTGTTTCACTGATCTCAGCAATCCACCAAGTCTCGTCTCCAAAGCACTGGATATAACAAGCATGCACCAACATGCATTCCTAGGACAGTGCCTGTCACTGGGGTTGCATGGAGTGACAGGTGCGTGGCAAAAGCAGTGTTTAAAAACTGGAAACACTACTTCAATAGCTCTGAATTATGTCAGTTTATTAAAACTGGATGGTAGAGTCGAGTCTGTCTTTGTTTCCTGTAAATATACATGCTAGTGTACATATACATCTACATATGAGTGTGATCTTTGAATGACCGGTATATCTGAAGGTATTTAAGTGATTAATTGCTGCTTTGGCATTATCTACTAGCTTCATTACAACCGTTGCTGGGTGGCATGTCTGAAATAAATATATTATACAAATTAGCTGATCTCACACATCTAAACTTTCACATTTCAAAGGGCTCGCATAATGCACATGCATAATGTACATTGCCTAAGTAATCCCCCCCCCCCCCCCACATTGTGCAAGAGCGCAGAAGCGTGGTCACCACATCTGCGCCTCTATATGAGGAACGAAACAGGTGGACTTCTCCACAAATCTGGCTGTCGCCTGATGAAGCTAGTTGTAATTACTGGCGGAACGTCGTACTCAAGATTGTAAATGTTGTGGCTTGGCTCTCCAACACACCGGTGTGTTGTACGAGTGACGAATTGGCCACGTTCTGTTTACGTGACAACCCTTACGAGTTGGCTGTGTCGGGTGGTGGCGAGTATTAACACATTTATATATTTACACGATCTAACCCAAAAACCTCTATTATGGATTTCACATTTCTGTTAAGGACTTTTATATTACTATGCGAAATACCTAAGCCACTTTTTTCAAAGATAGAGGCACTCAATGAATGGGTAGGACTGAATGAGAACTGGGATACATACTAGCTGATAACTTAATCACATTATTACAGGTTCTCAGCCGATACGATATTGATTCATTTCTGTCAAATCACTCATTGTTTGGTCAACATCCAAGGCTAATGATGTTAATATTTTCCTTACATTATCACATTCCTTGAAACAAAAACTCTCACTAATCAAACATTCTACAGACTATTACATCTCTTCCTGCTCATCCTCTTCACTAGACAGATGCTCAACCAATTTGAGAAGCACGTGAACATTATTAATGGTGTTAAAAAGAACAAGAACTAAAGTTGGGTAGAACAAGCAAGTAATGGTCATATAAATGCTCATATTACACCAACAGAACACATTAGATGGGAAAAAGTGCTAAAACAGGCTTAGTTAAATATACAAGTTACGAGCAAAAGTATACCGAGGTACATGTTAGGAATTTAGATTACGTCATTGAATGTCTATACAGAATGAAAACATGCAAGTGTTAGGCAGATGTCGTTGTACACAATCGACTTTCGGACAGAAATGCAAATCGGTGTTTACAATTTTTTCAGAAGACGCTCGCACCGACGCATGATCAAGAAGTGGAGCTCCGAGGGTTGGGGTACCATGACTTGGTGGTGCACTTATTTCTGTGAGCAGCGTAGCATGCATTGGGCAGGTGACCGAGCCACCAGCAGCAAATGGTAAAGATACCTGAAAGAAACCATGCACTCAATAAATACCTTAATCAGAGGAAAGCCCTTCACTATGTGGTTTGTTCACAAGGAAAGCCAGGAAAACTTTCATGACTTGTGTTTTTTTTCTTCCTCTTCCCTGTCAGTATTTCCAAGAATTACCTTTCATTTATACATCACACTCGCATCAAGTCGTATGCGACTGTGATTTATACGATTTATATCAGAGGGTCTTGCAAACCGAGTTTGAAATTTTCCATGGAAATGTTCAGTTCTGTCAGAATAACATCACCGACTCAATAAATTAAAGTACTGCTTAAATGGTGAGCAGGTTCCATATGATAAAATCAATCATGCATATGCCAATTATTTCACATGATCGATATGATTTGAAAATCCCTATTCTGTAAAAGAAATAAATATAGCAATCAATAACATGCATTCACGATGGAATATGATGAACTGAATGATTAGTCAAATTGTGCATGTTGAAATAACAGTGCTTTACATGGACATGAATACGATATGCAAGCAGTGTTAAATAATAAACAAATCATTCTTTGGAAGACTGAATTTAAATGGATGTACCACAAATTCAGATGTAAGTGTGCAAAAACCACAAAAGCAACCAGGATCTAAATCTCTCACCAATGTAAACAATGGCTCTAAGTGTCACTAAGTTTGGATCTTTTGTCAATGGTAACTGTAAAAAATGGAAAGCTGACGTGAAAAATACGATGCAAAATATTCAAATTTGCTTCCCTGCAGTGCAGAGAATTAAGAGTTATTTAAAATTGCTTTAAAGTTAGATTTTAAAAATTCAATTCCAACATAGATATGACAAACTTAACCAAAGCCAAAAAAGGTTGTCTTACAAGTTCCATATACTTAAAACATAAGTTAACAACTTCCGTAAAAGAATAGCACAACCAAGGTAATAATTACATCTTTACTTACATCCTCACACTTAGGTTTTGAGTCCTGGACTCTGAGTCGTACATTTTGAGCTTTGTTAATGATGATAAATAATAAAATGATGATCACGTGCCTTTCAGGAGCGTCATCATAATGTATCATACTCATTGTACATGCTGTAACCACTGCATGTTTCTAAGCACGGTGCATTGTGGGAGCAGAACTTTCTCTTCACATGCATGGCAATGTTCAGTGGCAATCCGCCATATCAAGCGAATGGAAGTCGATGCCCACCAGGACATGTTAAACCTGGGATGGCTGTGTTGATTCCAAGAGTCCATGATTTCATAGGTAATTTACTTGCTTTTTTTAAAAGGAATAAATTATAATCGATGCATTGCTATGGATAAATGGTGTTTGCTAACACAATAATACCTTATTATTTTCTGGGTTGCGTTTTCTTTTAAAGTTGCTTTTTTACAGAAAGCAAATCAAAGATGTTTAACTACAGCACATTAATTTATTTAATTTTCACTACATCCCTAACTCATGCCAGTGGATAATTCATTATTTTGCCTCAAGTAAAGGAGGGCAACTTACCATTTGTTCCCGGCCACAGCTGTTCTCAGCCAAAGCTGCACCTCCACCCTCAGAGAAGTCGGTTTGTTGAGAGAATTGAACATCTGAGGGTCCACCACCCCCAGCAGCACTCCCGCTATCAGGTGGTCCAAAATGTGGTGCTGTATGCACACCTAAACAACACGCCACCCAAACATCCGGCCATCATTTACACGAGAGCCTATGATCCTTCAACATTTCTTGACTCATTTTTAGCAGGCCAACAACAACCTGTGCTGGGATAATAATGCATCATGAACAGTATGATCCCAGCTGCTCGACATACCTAAGCAGACCCTGCCCTTTCCAACCGTTGCCCCTGATTATTCTTACCAAATGAGACTTGAAGCAATGAGGACACATTTTCCCGAGATGGGGTGATGAAAGCGAAGTAGAACTATGTTCTGCATTTTAACTATGTTTTCAGCAATGTTTAATAGTAGCTTAAAATTATTTTAAAAAATGTATTCTATTGGTAAAAAAAAGAAAACAGTGTAGTTATTGACAGAGGCGATCACATTACCACTTGAGAACACCAAACCGAAACTACTTTTGTCACGTCAGTTAAGTTTCCATAAACTGGTCTTTTCTTGATAATTGGTGTTTTACCCTTTTATCTGGCAACAAAACTGACACCTTTTTTACAAGGAGTCATGTTTGCTTTGACCACAATACCTGCGGTTGGAATGCAAATAAAAATACAACTCTGATAATGTATGCACTGTGCTTGAAATTGATTGGTCCACACCCGAGACTGCAAAAAAAGTGTCAGTTTTGTTTCCAGATAAAGGGTAAAACACCAATTATCATATTTTGCTACTGGCAAAGGAGGTTCCAATGGTGGTCTTTTCTTGCCTGCCATCTGGATAGGTAGGCCGACTCACTTACAAGGTAATGGTCATTGCTTACAAGTTTATAAAGATGCTGCAGCATGGGTGTAGCTTGGCTCTGGCCCACACAATTAGATCTACGTCAGCACTGTATTTTCCACAAATGCACTAAAGCGTGCCACGCAGCTGATAAGCACACATGGCCATAATTGATTAAATTTTGAACATAGATAAGGATTGGCTCCATCATGATGACAAATCATGCTTTCGCTCAATATCTTAATCACAGACACAACAAACTCCACCATAATTCATCCAGATCAATCTGTGTGTACAGGTGCTGTTCCCGCACTCACCAGCCTCTAATCTGCGCTCGTTGTCCTGGAACATGCTCATGGCCTCCAAGTTGAGAGCACACACGCCGCGCATGAATGCCTTTTTCATCGCCTCGTTGTAGTGCTCCCGCTCTCCCTGCAGTTGCGCCATCTTGCCCTGAGCTTCCACCAAGGCCTCGTTCAACTATTCATTGTAAACAACCAATCAAGTTAAAGAGGTAACCGCAAGCAATGCCTTCCATACCACAACATCTCTCATCGCCTCCTGCTCCTTCTGCTGGATGCCACAACTATTCCAGTGAACACAACCTTTAGGGGTTCTGTTCAAAAACCCACCAAATCTTTGGGTGCCCACTCCAATGCCTCCCTTAGTAACTTGATCTTCCCCACCGGGCACACAAGCCCCACTCACTACAGCCACCACCTTTTCTTAATCACATCTACAATCCTTTCCATTCACTTTCTATATGCAAACTTCCAACTTGTTTACATCTCCCACCCATTAAATTCCTGGCATGTATATTCAAACACTGAAAACTTGCTCAGTTCTATGATTAATGCAGTAACAGACATTTCCCCCAACTCAAACACCTGTAACGTCACACTACATTTGCCCTCTATACTTTACAAAGTAATTTATGTAATCTTATGAAAGCATACCTCCTTAACATGTTTCTTGATTTTGACTGGTCCTTACTTAAAACTATTCCAATGTCTATTCTAACTGCTTAGATTTGCATCAGGTAAATTCATAAATGGTCAACTTGTACATGCTATAAACCATCAGTGGTGATCCCTTATGCAGCACCATTTTAATCGGCTTATTTTTAATTTTTCAGCAAATGTCTGGAAGACCACTTTCCATGAAATTCTCAATAAACCTATCCCTCCAAAGCGCAACATGCTTTTAAATCCCCGTCCTTCTTTAATTGGGCAACAACTTTCTTCCGATTCTCGTGGCAAATGCTCTCCACTCTATGCCGCTCTCTAATGCATGCTGCTTTGTGATGTCCAGTCCCTTCTGCGTTTGCTGGCCACGGATCATTCAATACTGTAGGCTAAATATCACACTCCAGCGATCCATAAAATATATATGCTGTTTTTTCTAATGTTCTAAGCTTCGAAGGTTACTTCCCACTTCAGATTTTAAGCATTCTGCTTTGTGAAGATTACTACGAAACTATTTTTTATTTTACCAGGTAAGGCCCAATGAGCTATGTAGCTCTTTTTTCAGAAGCAACCTGGCCACAAAAGATGGCTCAACGAAGTGGCTTATCAAGTGTAATTGTATCGCAGCCAAATACTCTAAATGCATATTTCTAAATGTGGAAGGGAAAAATTGGAGGACCTGAAAAAACTCCAAATATCCACCAGGTGTCAGGACAGGATCGGACCCATGATCCTGCATACCAGGCGAGGTATTTAGCATCTCGCCACCGTGGTGCCCTTATATTTCATTTGGCTAACCAATGTTTCTCAATCATTACACGGAGGGCTTGTGGTTCATCTCTGTTCAAAAGATTGGCCATTTCGAGGAATTCTTCTCTGAACTTTATGTGCCACTGCAGAAATAAACATACACATTTAGACCTCCTTTTGCTCTTACATATATTTATAAAGGACAATTATTTGCTGTGCCTAGTTCTGTAAGCATCTCGTGTTTCCTCAAACATATTCATTGATGTATGCATATTATTTTCTTTTAGAGCATTAAAAAAAAATCCTTACCTACTTATTTATTTTAAGCATAGGCGGATACCACAGCATTTAAAAAACAAAACGGTGCAGAAATACACGAAGACAAGTTGTGTTACATCAGACGCAAAAGGGCTAATTGTGGAAATGGGAGCTGAATAAGTGGTGGCTATATAAGGGAATACAAGTTATTGCAGGCCCCCTGGTGGTGGAACCTATTGCGTGCTTATATACTTTAAAATGCTCTATTTTATTGAGCACCATCATATTGAAATAATAGTGTAATGGATATAAGTAACCTGCCAACGAGGTCAGCAAATTACTGTCAAAGGTATTTATAAAAAAATCTTTTAAAAATATTAAATACTTTGAAAGCATTACAAGGACACACATTTAAATGTCTACAAAGATAGGGCTTACTATTCAATCAGTTAAAGTGGCTTAAGTTGCTATAATATGAACATCATCGATTAGACAAATACTGCATGTAAAAAGTCATAAATAAAAAGTAAAGCCTCACCTAATCTCAAAACATTTTCAGGAGGGTTAAACGTCAAGATAATTCCTTTTAACACTTGGGTCAAGAATATAAGCATCCTGTTTTAGTAAACATTAAAATGTTTAAGAATGAACAAACTTGTTATTTCGTCTCCATTTATATAAAAACAATTATATTAAAAACCCCACACAAAAAGTGAATATCTCTTTGTCAATCGACTGCTGGATGAAGGCCTCCCAACAACATGTCAGTTGTGGAGATTGCTTGATCATACCACACCTTGCTGGTCAATATGGACTGACGAAAAGGGGAGGCGAGGGAAGCTACACCGGTTCAGCTGTCACTCGCCAACATTGTGAGCCGTCGCCAGTAATTGACTTCATGTTTTAGGGGTCGTGGTGCAAAGCTCTAACCACCACTCCACACAATTAAGATCCCATCAGAGATATTTACTTGTTAATTTGATACCGAAGCTCAGTGATGACATCACACTGCTCTTTTGAAGACCGGAAGCAGGAAGACTTCACAATTCTGGCAAGTCGCCTGATGAAGCTGGTTGTAATCACCAGCGGCAATGTCACACTCAATTGCAAATTTTGTGAGTTTACTCGCCATCACACCGATGCGCTGAAGTGGTAAGCTCATTGGCACGTTTTATTTACGTGACAAACCTTACTAATTGGCTGTGACGGGTGGTGGTGGGTTAACGACACATTTATATTCACACGATCTAACCCAAAAATCATTATTATGAATATGTACCTGTGATAAAGATAAAAAATAAGCACATATTTAGCATGCGTGTTAGTTTCTTATATATTTTTGCCATACCGCAATGATGCGGGCTTCGTAGTCATTGCCCACTTGGATGCAAACTTCCTGCGCACGGGCCTGGCATGCGCGCTCCACACGCTGTTGCCAGCGTATCTCCACGAGCGAGTGCCAGGCGGCCCACACTTTCTTTGTCAGCGCTCGGTGATAGTGCTGCCTTGCCAGGCGGCTACAAAACACCTGAACAATGGCAAGTAACACGTACGATTGAACACAATACCACTATTCCTTTTGGCAACGTCTTGTTTTTCAACCAAAGTAAAAGCCCTATTATTTTCAAGATTTTTGCAACCAGTTGAACGTCACTGAAACTATTGGTGGCAGTGGTGCACATGCACAAATAACAAAAATGCTGCTTTCCAAGAAAATAAATAAAAAGCAAGATTTCACGCAAGATATGTTGCATTTTTTTATGTATCAGTAAATACTTTGAAAGCATTGCAAGCATATATAGAGATGATTTTAAGTCCTCTGCCCAATTTTACTGAAAAATCAAATGTCTTATCAAATGTGTCATCAACAATACAACATTTAATTTCTAAAAAAGGTCACTTACAAAAAAAGATACAAATCATATTGAGCCTCTCTCATCCCCCCTTACAATGATAATTTGGGCCCAGGAATTAATCACTGAAGGGGTTTAATTGATTATGCAACAGTAATTCCATGGCACAAAATCTGGAAAATCACCTCCTGCTGTTCATCTGCATGTCGAAGCCTCCAGTGTGTAAATGCCCGCAGTTTCTCCATTTTCTCCTTTTCCTTCTGCAGTCCGTTTGTCAGGTTTGAGATCACCTGTGATAATTAAAGCATTTTCCAAATAAATCATCTTGAAACGTTACCAATCGTGGACCAAGGAATACCTCTTATCAAAAGTGTAATACATTTTCTACACCAATGCAATCAATATCTTTACAATAAAATATGGCTGCAGAATGCATATTTTTGTTTGGACTGGCGATTATAAATCAAGTTTGGACCTAGCCTAAGGTGTGCAGAAAAAATACTTCACTGCTCATTTAAAAGGTTCAAAACATTAAACAAAGTTAGAGGTTTTTGCAATAACGATGGCATGTTTAAGTCTGGTTAAAATAATAGTGAACTACATAATACATGGAATGAGAAGTTAGTGTTTCTAAGGTGTCACTCTATGGACTGTACATAGTTTTACGATGGAAATTAAAATGGGGAATGTATAATCAGTCATCACAAGATACACATTTTACAGAGGTTATTCTATGCACTTTGTTGGCTGATATATTTTTATGCATTTTGCTGCAAAATACAACTATATGCATCCAGCTCATGAACACATCGCTACGACATCGATATAATGTGGTGCTGTCAAGTTTTAACAAGGCCTTAAAACATTTAGCCTCACCTGGTCCTTGCATTTGACAGATTTGTCAAAGGTGTGCAGCAGTTGGCGTAGGTCACCCAACTGGGCATGTAACTGAGCGACTTCAGCCGCATGCCTCTCCTGCTCTTCCCGAGCCTCTTTCTTGTATTCCTGCTGCGTGGACTGCATCCACTGACCCAGCTCCATCAGAACATTTCTCTAAACAAAGGACAAATAATTTTGCAGTTACAGATACAATGACTTCTAAACTGCAGTCACGATTGTTAGGTTGTAGTAAAAGAGTTGACGGCTAGGATACAGCCAAGCGGTGATCAACATTGTCACATTTGTAACACATAGAACACGTTTTCAAATCATATATGTTTTCAAATTAGAGCCTCAATGTCGAATTAACCCAGTCCTGCATTTAACATTGAACACATTGGTATAAAAGGTTAAAATCATGGTCAGTAACGGTAATGTCATTCATGCGATTAATCCTTATCATTTCTCCCTTCTGTTAGATCCCATCACTACAGAAGTCAACACCTGGCCTCCAAGGTCTGCCGCCTCTTACAGTATTCCATCATCCGGCTTGATATCTTACTCTTACTGGCCTCTGGGTATTAACTCGAATGCTTATCTCAGTTATCTGTCATATTCCATCCTAGAACATGTTGACCACCATCACAACCTTATATTCCTGGTTAAATCTACAATTTTTTTCTCGCAACATTCTATTCTGAACTTCCAAGTTGCATGTACACCTCATCTTTAAAACAGATGTAGTGGATTCAACTGAGTCACAGAGTACTCTTTGGAGGCAATGCATATTTATTAACACCAACACATTAACACAAAGGGGTTACTGCCCCTTTACCAGATAACCTATGGTGGTGGACCACCAGGCTAACTACGCTAGTTACTGGGAGTAGCTACAACGGACAGGACCCTGGCTTGGGTCCACGTCCACGTGTTGGCGACTCCTTGGATGTAGAACGTAGATCTTCAGATGACAACAGCAACGCTCAACCCCGGTCACTGTGGGGACCCGGTTTATATGCTCCTGAGTTGTGGCTGGCCCCGCCCTTGGCCACAACCACCTTAGAGAAACCTCGGGTCGTCTCTCGACCCTTCCCGTAGGATCTCACCCCGACACGTGACCACCCCCTAGCCCCCACCTGGGGCCCCTGTGTAGATATTACTTGTCACGTGCCTTCCAGGGTCAACCAGAGTGCCATGGCCTAGGGTAACCTCATCCCATTGCTGACACGCTCACACTCCCTCCTGTAGGAGTCAGCACTGCACGCCACGCGTGGTGCCACTGAGAGCTATTCCAGCGCTCACCGAGCCCCCTCTAGGGCTGTTACTACACCCATCTACAGGGTGTCCGCGATGACAACGCATCGCACGCCGTGCCTCGCGAGAGCCGGCATTACTCAGTGACATACACGATGTCGCTACATTCGTGATGTCCGCGATGCGAGCATATTGCACACCGTGCCTCTCTAGGGCCGGCACCACAGTGACATCCGCGATGTCACTAAACAGACATAAAGTCCTCTTGTAATTTGATGTAATCAGCATATTATTCCTATTAGCTAGTTATATTTAAGTAATAATATTCCATGGCATGGAACTATATTAGAAAGATAACAGTATGTTTAATACTGTATATGACACCATATTTGGATACTTTACTAGTAACAAGTTCATATTCTTTGGGTCTTTCGGTAAAGCCACGTAGATAGAAAAATAATAATAAAAAATAATAAAATATCACGACGCTTTGATCGCAACACAAGCAACCGTCATCAGGGGAAAAAAGTGGGAGAGCTACTGAGGCAGGAAAAAAATTATAGTGGGAGCGCTGCTGAGGCAGGGTGTTATAAAGGTTAGAGATGGGTGTAAGCCCAAGGGTCATAAGCGACGTGGGCAGGGCTAGAGATGAAATTTGCATGTAAATGTAAGATACGGAGAGCTGAGCTCCTCCACGACGAGGCCAACGAGCAACGGTGGCTGTGTTAGTGAGACATTTAGCCTGTTAATGTAACTCAGAGAGTTGAGCGACTCAATCAGACGAGCCTTCTTGTCTCGACGTTTGTTACATGATCTAATAGTTGTGTGGAAACCCTCTACGTAGAGGCGGTTAAATCAATTTTTTCACCTGATGACGATTGCTTGTGTCGCGATCGAAACGTCGTGATATTTTTTTCTTTCTACGCGACTTTACCAAAAGACCCAAAAATATGAATTACTGCAGTCACGAAAGCTTTAAGTCAAGATAGTAACAATTTAATTAATAGAACAGAATATTTCCAATTTAAAGTAATAAGTCGATTATATATATTGCATTGAGTAATGAGGCCCCCATCAACAGTGTGTTGTCCTTCCTATTGTAAAGTAGCATTTCTACTTTCAACTTCAGCATTGTACTCAATGCTTGAAAGAGTGTACATATTTTCCATGTTTGCTAAATTGGTTTACAATTCGCATTGAAACTACATTTCAATGAATACAATGGGAGAACTATCCGTTATATAAAAAATATTTTTCATAAATAAGGTTTGAGAAACATTTTAAGGGCCCATATGCGGAGCTTTTGAACTCGGTGTCAAGTTAGATGGTGTACATACAAATATTATTTTGCTTTAAATTTCAATGGTTTACTATCAATGTTCGTACCTTGAGGTTGGAATACCAAGTGTCCAGTATATCCCCAACTCTTTCCAATTTGTCAGCTGGGAGGAGTGGCTGGGTTCTAACTTCATCTTGGTTTAAGTGGGAGTCTTGACCAAGCAGTGTGGGTCCTCCTGTCTCCTCCGACTCTGGAGAGACCCTGCCGAGGGTCTGGAGAAGCAGTTGACTTGCCAGAGGAACGGGCACTGTGGGGGATGTGACGTAGATGATTAAACATATTCTGCTCAACACTACACATTCTTCCACATAACTGCGTGGCTAGAGAAATTGCAATTAAGTTATTCATATTTTAAATATTCTTGGTTCTTTCGGTAAAGTCACGTAGAAGGGAAACAATAAAATAATAAAACAATAAAATGATGATTGCTTGTGTTGCAGTCAAAACGTCGTGAGAATTTTATTTTATATTATGTTATTGTTTCTCTTCTACGTGACTTTACCGAAAGAACCAATAATATGAATCCCTGCAGTCACGAAAGCTTTAAATCATATTTTAAATGTTTCAGTAAGCAGACATTACATTTATGTTACAGAAATTTCCATTTTAATTGGCAAAATACTATTTATATTAAAGAGCTGAGAAAGACTGTGCATTTCCAAGTGACTCCATCTCTTTGCACGACAATTACACATTATAAATGTAATATTGTTCAACAAGATGCATCAATTAGTGCTGGCAGGATAATATAATGAGCACAACACCGCAATGTCATGTGCTTTCGGATATTAACTCGGAGTGCATTTTGTACCGGGTGCAGACTCTCGTGGCTCAGAGCCATTCTCTCGTTGCTCTTGTCTGATGACGGATGAAGTAACATTGTCATTGCCTGGTGCTGTTTTCTCAGAGGTGGACGATGCATGCTGCTGTCTGCCTTGCGTTGCCTCTTCCATAGCCAGTGCTGACAAAAGATACAGAATTTGTAGGTTACTGTGTACATTATTTACATGAGAAAAATAATAAGACTCAACAGGGAACAGAACAGCTGTGGTCTTTGGTAGGATCCAAAAGATGTGAATTCATAATCTTTAATCCTCTGGATCTAATCATGTGGCAGTCCCGGGCCGATCCGTGAAAACCGCTCCACAGTCCTGCGATCGGCACCATGTGTTGGCACCATTTGCGTGACAAAAGAAGTAGCGATGCTTGATTTCAGCTTCAAATATTATATACAGTACATTATACAATACATATAACAATTTAAACAATGAAAATACTGCACGTATATAACATTTTTCATGACTAATAACCAGTGATAAAAAAAAATTTTCGCAGTGCGATCCGGCGAGAAGTTCGTGTAATTGGGCATTCGCAACAGTCCGGCGATCGTCATATACATGTCATTGAAATAACAGCGTAGTACGTACATCAGCCCGTGCAGTCTTCGATATTGGAGTGGTAAGTATGGTACAGTAAATAAAGTAACTTTTTACATTGGGATATTTATTTGTCTATTTTTATATTTATTTATGCCAATTTCATATAATAAACAAATTAAAAACACAAAAAAACATTTATACAACAGCTAAAAAACAAGCCAATGTAAATAATGATGTCATTATCCGGCATTTTTAAAATCCGGTGCCCCCTTCCCCCCAAAGCCGCCAGATAATTATCGACGATCTACATGTTTAATATTACATTTCAAGTGCTTGAGTTTCAGGCCATGGTGAGGTGCCTCACCATCGCAGTCAACCAGGAACAAAGCATTTGTATTTACATTCCTAAGCATTAAAGCTAGCAAAATGTCGCCCATGAGGCACCAGGTAAGATTCACACACATGTGCACACTCGTATGACCAACATTTTAAAATACAGCAAAAGTACATCTTACATTAAATTTTACCGTCCCCATTTCTGAAGTTATTTTGAAAAATAGTACAGCCTAGAGGTTGTATTAAAACCATTTAACCTTATAAGATAAATGTCTTGTCATTTCAGGTTCATTTACCAATGCCACACGTGGCTCTGCTAGTATATTTCATGAAGGAACTCAATATCCTCCATGCAAAGATACTCAAAATGTAATTATGATAGTATGAAACTGCTGAAGAGTAACATGTAGCTTTGGTATTTTTCTCCAATGAGTGATTTAAATGTGTAGGGAACATGACTTCATCCAGAGTATGTGTTTCAAGAGCTGAAGCAAAGTATACTCTTTAGCAAAATACAATCACCACATTAACTATTTTTAAACAAATGCAGATAATTTTGAAAACATTTAGATGACAGGGCCATTCCATGACAATGTAGCATATAACAATCTACCTATGGTCTCATGAGTATTACAATTACCAGACATGAATTATAGTAGACAACACGATTAATGGAAGACTAGCACATACGGAGCACCACCCAGATCATAGGCTTGACTATAAGTAAGGCAAGCAATATAAAACAGGCCATCAACTTGAGAGATGACCTCATCCTGGCAATTAATGACTGGACTTAAAATATAACAATAGCTCCACTAAAGTTTACCTTCCCTATTTCTAATGGCATATTGAGTAAATGCTGAGTAAAACCACTAATTAATCTGTACTGCTAAAGCGGACATCCTAGAGGTCAATACATATCACTGAAGGTTTTCAGATTAAGGTCTATGTCATTTCTCAGCCATTTAGCAATATCACGTGTTTCTGCTGATGCACTGAGTTCTAGATAGGAAGTATGACCAAAGTCTTGCACGGGTTTTATTGATGCATTGGGCTCCAGAAGAGAACTCAATACATTCTATACAAAGGTGCGGAGTACAATATCGGTTCACAATGTATATGAAGATGGCAAAAAAACAAGTTATACAAAACAAAACGTACAATATTGTTTTGACAGAGAAAAACTAACATGAGCTGAACATTAAAATCATCCCTATTTTTTCATAAAGTGTGCAATTAGATCTACTGTACATTAGCCAGGTTGCATTTGTATACCTCAAATGGTGAAGGCGCATACACATCTACAAAGTGCCAAAACTGAGCCCTATTCTGCCCTCCTGATAAACCAGCAAAACTGAAAAATATGGTTGTTAATCTGCATTGCCTGCCATAGGAATTTAGGCAGAGTAGGCAGATAACTGTAGCTAATGTCAGATATTGTTGCTGCTTGTGCTTTATAAATACTACCGGACAGCAAACCCTTTCCTCTCGTGGGTTTAGCTTTCACAGTTTTGCACCAAATTTATTGAGGTACAGTTCGCCAAACGTGCCCGTGGCTCGACCATTCGCGGTTGACTGCAAGATTCCTGTATGCATTGTAACTGCACTGCTCGTGATGATGCTGCTTCTGCGGAACACATTCAAGTTTCATTTATTTGGTATAGCCCTGTGAGCCATGCGGCTCTTAAGTCGGGTGCAAACGCAACAAACTAAATATGAACGGAGAACATCTTAAAGCGACGACACGCAACAGAAACATCCTGGATAAACCAGCAAATCTCCCTAAAAAAAACCGCTGTGTGCAAAAATCCCAGTGTGATGAAAGTCAAACAATAACAACCATAATACAATTTAGATTACCCATATGTTTTCGAAATAACCAAAATAACGCTATGAAAACAATGTAACAACAGTAATCATAAGAACTGTGATTTAAATTTTACAATAAACATGTGCTATCTCCCAAGTGGCCCATCATGGTTCCCAGGTCACATGTTCCAAGTCTCCTGTGAGGCACAATTTTTATTTGTGTAGTGTACAGCACTGTACATGGACAATGTGTACAGCATTGTACACTACATTAAGAAATTTTCATTCTATACATTTATCATACAAGTCATATGTAACACTAGAAAATATTAATCATATTTTACGTTCAAAATACTTCCTGTTTAACGTTTGGGTTGATGTAGGGTAACACCAAACAAAATGAGGGGATGTCGTATTGTAAACCGCGAACCAAATTCTAGTTTTCTCATTTGCCTTTTGAGTTTACGGGGTGCTGATTTGCCAATTGAGGCTATTTTCAAGAATGTAACTCCTGCGATGGGCAAGGATTTGCTGTATACAATAACATTCTATAGTTAATGCACTCTGCACAAACAATCATTGAACCAAAATATCAAAATAATTACGTATTTTTGTAGAACAAAGCATTTAAAGCTCAATTATTTAAGTAAACTTTTACTATATCAGTGCATTAAATCTCTAGTCAAAAATGTAATGCACTTATCTACAGCACTTAGAATGATGTTAGCAAATAAGTACTTTTACGTGAGTGAATATCATGCACTTAACACCATTAAATATATGAAAATGAGACTAACAATTCACACTTCATGAGACTACACAGTTGTGTGTTACCGTATGTACCCTATACGGAATCAAGTGTATGCCCTTTAAACCATGGCAGCAAGCCGGTGTGTCTACAGGCTCTTAGTAATGATACCTGAGCCTCTAAAACAGCTTTTATACCACTACAGCAACTGCCTGGCCCCTTAAACATAGCCAGGTCCTTTTTAAAAGTGTCACCGTGGCCCAGGGGCCGGAGGTCACACCTGGTGTGGTTTGGTCCTCGGTGAGTGTGGCCACAGTACGACTCGGCACGTGCTGTCTGGGAAGGGGTCTGGTGGCGTCCCACTTGGGCATCACCACAGCGTGCCTCAACAGCTCCTCGTACTCTTCCTAGATAGTACAAGTCCACAAGGAGAAACACCATTCCTGAATTGCACTCCACAGTTTAACACATTTTGATTTCGAAGGCAATTCTATCAAATGCCTTCCAATTTATATTGCGTTTGGGTTTTATTTTTCCCCTGTGTATGTTGTTCCATTTTTCTAGCTACAAATTACACGGAAATTATGGTTGTTCACTTTAGAGGGAGGTCTGATAAGAATGTGAACACTTAATATTTCTTCACGTAATATTTACTTATTTTATCAAGCTTTATGCAGTATATGATTCCCTTACAAGTACATTTCTGTGCTACCATTTATACTACATGGAGTTTTTATAGTAGATGCATAGTAATTTAACATTCCTAAATATATATATTTTATATATTACTTAAAACGTAATTGACAGCAACCATGGGCCAACCTTGCGCTACACATGTATTCACATTAATGAGGCAGGGGTAGGTATAGCAAAGGCAACTACTATCCCAAAGCAAACCTCTAGATGCATACCTACATTTAAACCCAAACACTTCTATTTTTCACCATTGTACATTGAACAATAAAACTTTATCAACGCAGCCAATATATTTGTTACTGATTATAAGACTAATGCTATTTCAAATGTAAAAAATATAATCAAAGCACTCTCCACCATAGCCTTACTTCTCATTGCCCTATTTCTTCATCTGTTCCCACTGTCATCTGTAGCCAGACTGTGGCCAGGCTGATTTGTTTTCATGCTGAGCTACGCATACTTAAATACAATTCAACCTCCATTTAATGCAGTTAATCAGGTCCACTGTTTACTACATTACAATTATAGTAAACACTTGTACGAAGTACAAAAATTGCCTGCATCTATCCTACAAATGCTATTGCAAATATTCAATGTGTCAAGCGTATACTGGAAGATGGCTTCTATTAATATAGTTGAAGTGCAGTTTATTGTATAAGTTTATGTAAAAAATATCATGTATTATACACTATGCAGCATGGAAAGTCAAAGTAGGTGAATGGAAAATCCATGAATCTTCATAAGTGTTTAAAAACCTCAAACGTGGAAGGCACTTTATATCATCAATGTGACTTGCTATTAAATTGATTTAGATTACAATATTTCATCTACAAGAGAAACTAAAGTACAGTTAAGTTGGGAAGTGCATTATTGTTGCTATCGAATTTGAAATTGGAACCGACACCACCACATAATGCATGTTGCAAAATATGTCAGCAAGTGTTTATTATCTATATTACAGCAGAAAGCTCTCTCTGGTGTTGATAATTTAATTTCCATGCAGCAGCTGCAAAATTGCTGACGTCTTATTAACTGGTTTTGAAGCACATTTGCTTACGAATAAGTTATGCAACGAACCATCAATAAACCTACACATCTGGTGAGCTAAGAAACACTAAAAACACTACCTGCAAGTCGGATGAGACGGAGCTTCCTCGGTCACTCTCTCCAGGTATAACAGGTGACTGCCGACAGCTCTCCTCCCCCGACGACATCCTAACCCAGCGTTACCACTCCTGTCTCTCCAGGAAGGTAAATCTGGGGACTGCCCACTGCACAAACATCTCAACCAATCAACTTGTTTACATCAATTATATTGGTTATTCACATGTGAATTATGGCTTAAGTGTCAAAAAGGGAAATTTTACATTTAGACAGTGTAAAGACTGGGACCTTTCTTTGCCAGTATTAAAATATAACAATAGGCGTTCTCTGGTCTAACACTTTGAGACTAGGCTTAAAAGAAAGCGGTCTCTGGTGTGGCCCATTTACTTCCAAAGACAATACATGTTATCAGAGCATGTTTTTTGTTTGAGTTATAATGGAGATTCAGAAGTCTCCATTGAAATTAATGAAGATTATATTGGACAATCCTTAGGCTGTAAAAAAAAATAATTCCAACAATCTAGGGATCTTACGTAGAATCACCATTGATTTCAAATGGAATTCTCGCGGTTTGGTCCGTTAGCGTGAGGCCACATTGTGACTCGGCACACGCTGTCTGGAGTAGCCTGGTGGCGTCATAGCCTCAACAGCTGTTCAGCCACTAGATGGCAAGCTTTTACAATTCCCCGGAAACTACACGTGATTCCAACAATTCCATGAGCCACTCATATTATCTGTCAAATTATTGTATTTTGCTTTATTGATCCAATTTAGTTACTTTCTCTCCAAACTTTGTTGTTGTATATACTTTTATTACTTTTGGCTCTGACTCGCGACCCGATCATTATGTTGTTGCTGTTACTATCTACTTGTTTATTTCTTCATGATTTAGTATAGTCTCCATGTATATCGTGTTGGTCTATCACTTCTTTAGTTTATTGATTTCTCACTACCTGTTATTTTTCTCTCCATACTTGACTGATGTTTTCAAGCTTTTATTTGTACTTCATTTAGGTGGTCTCTTTTCACAACTCTTTGTTGTTTTACAGTATGCATTATAATGCATATGACATATACAGGACATCTGTGAAACAGAGCTTTATAGCTCATCGGATTCCTACAGTATAAATTAATATTCTGATATACATTACAGTGACATCACTAGGTGATGTCCCTGAGAGTCCTTTTAAAGATTTTTTTTCTAAATGAAAGGCTTCAGACTTATGTTTGAAAGCCCAAGATATACAACCTGCATTTGCAAACCCAAAATTAATATTTTTAATTCCCTCCCTTTCATGGAAAATTCGTTGGTTTGGAGCAGCGAGGGGATGCAGCAGTCGGAATATTAATGTCAGATAGAGAGTAGAGATGGGCAAAGAATAGAGGAACTCTGTATTTTTACTTGAATCAACATACGATTCTGTTCCAAGGGACTTGGAGTAAAGCCAAAATTAGATGTGTTAGCTATGTGCTGGGCTGCAATATTTTAAATTACAAGTCTTGAAAACGAGAACTTAATGAACATCCCAAAACTAATTTTATGTCAGTGGTGAGGAGTGGTGTTTCTGTGAAGGTGTCAATCATCAATACTCGTATACAAGTCTCATGTTCAGAAGGTAATGGTATTGGTTGGTTCCACAGAAACCTTCCAGAACATGTTTTTCCATAATACATAGATTTTTACAAACTACTATAATTAAAACAAATCCCTTTGAACTCCATGGCTGACAAATGCGTGGATCTGAAGACTAATATTTTTTGGCAATAACTACTGCAATTATGTTTGCATTATAATAGTTTTCCAAACTTGGAAAAAAAAAACACCTATACACAGGTTCGTCCTCGCACTAAAGGTACTTAAAAAAAACCCACTTATTACTGTACTGTTGCTGTCTCAATTGCGTGCAATTTGATGCATTGCCTTTGATGGAGTAAACAACGTAAGGGGATTCAATAAAATCCAGTACTAATACTGTATTTATCATTGGCATTTAAAACACACCTAAGACACACAACCTATTAATATGTTGTTTGTCAAAAATGTACTCTCTCACTATCTGGGCACAAACATTAAGTTATAGAAATATTTGTCATCTCATGTATAAAGCGAGGGTGGACAGGTGATTCTAAGCTCATGTCGCCAAGATGGGCGGCCGAGATTAGGAGATAAAATCCAGGCTGACGCTTTTTTTTTACCGGATTATTATTCGTGTATGTACAGTAATGAGTTGACGGTCTCACAAAAAGTGTATCACATTAAATACGGTTGTGTGCTTAAATTGGACAAATCCCCAGCTCTGCGATTTAAAATCTGTTTGACTGCCATGTGACGAGCTCGTCTCCGTGGGCAAAGCGGTTGAGAAAGTGCTGCCCCCTCCCCAGTGTGTAGACCAGGGGTCAAACTTGAAGGGACTTCAAAGGAAACAGTGAAATCCACATCCATGGATAGTTCTCCGACATCATGGGTCGGCAACCCAAGTAACAAGAGCAATGTTTTTCGAATTCAGTAAAAAAAACCCATAAACATTTCATGAGCCGCAATGCATGTGAATGCGAGACGATCCTTAATAATGAATTCATCTCATAAGACGATTCCCCACGGCAGTATTGGCACAAAACGCCCATTAATAAACGCAAGATTATAATTTTTCACCCCGCGCACGGTATTAACGGTGGGTTTTTTTTGTTTCGGGCGACCCTTTCAAAAGACAACGAAAACACCAATTCAACATTCGCGATCGTCAATATAAAAAGGCTCTCGGCACAGAGAGAAGCCGCCGCCGCGTGGCGCCAGAAGCGGCGGCAAAATTCAAGCAGCTGAGCTCCTCCTACAGACACACACAACACACCCAGTAGTTAGTACAATGCCGTGCTCAACATGTCTTGTGACCCCCTTCCCACCAACAATGAATTGCTTGTGTTGCAGTCGAAACGTCGTGAGCATTTTTATTGTTTTAAATTTGTATTATTTTATTGTATTTTCCTTCTACATGACTTTACCGAAATAACCAAGAATATGAAATCCCTGCAGTCACGACAGCTTTAAATCAAAATTAATTGACATTTTTGTTCCGTTGCAAATAAATGTTCGGGTTTAAATACAGCTTGGTGAACAAAACAAATTTTAGGGGAATTAAATAAGGAGGTGGGGGTCACAAGACATCTGGACCACCTTGTACGAAACTGTGTCCCCGGTCGAATCACACGAGATTTCAAGCTTCGTTAATGACAAAACAAAGTCTCTATTATTATTGATGTGATGCGGGGATGCCAAGAGCGAATCCTTAAAAGTGTGTTCCTTCGAACGAAGCTACGAAACAACCAAGAATGTTATCACAAGCCATGCATCGTCAAATCCACTGCTGGATGTAATTCATCAATAATCCACGCCAGCACCATGATGAGGCTCATTTAATCGCTCCATCTGGTCGGCGAAATTGCAGACGTATACTACGGATGAAAGTGTCCCACGTCTGGTCACAACGTACAGAATGATGAAGACACATCTCCCCAATGTTTACTTTATTATAAAACCTCAAGCGGTTAACGTCTTAGAATCCTGCGAATTACCGGGTACATATTGAGGGGGGGGGGGGCAGCGTCTTAGTTTCCCTTTTAAGTGGCCCAACGCAACTTACCCAACGAGAAAAATAACAAGCACCCTTGCCCAGACACTTCCACACAATTACAAACAAATCTTCGCGGCCGCGTAGTTGCGAAAAAAAAGATAATAAACTTGGCGCCGTTCGTCCATTACCTTGGCAAGAGTTCCACAGCGCTGGAGCGACGACTTCGCCTGCTGTTTGCGGGCAAAGACGGCACCTCTCTCCGTGGGCTCTTGCAGGGCACGAGCACACAGGAGATGATGACGATGATAATCACAGTCGAAGAGTTTCTCATCAAGAGCTCCGAACAAGGCCACCTCAAGTCGGCGTGGGTCGACCGATTTGAACTCGCGGCTCGCTGCCGGGTTGAACACAAAAACAAAGAGGCACCTAAGAAACGCGAAAGGGATTGGCCAATCAGAGAGCGCGAGAAACCCAAGAAACGCCGCCGGTGACCAATGGGAACGCGAGACGCGCAGCCCCGGGGGGGGGGGGGCGGCGGCGGGGGGGCAACGGCTGCACAAGAAGCAGCAACCAACTGCCACTGAGAGACGCATGGGAGCATGGGCCAGGGCTGCAGAGACACAAGGGGGCATAACAGAGATACACAATTAATAATAAGAGATACACAATTAATAATAAGAGATACACAATTAATAATAAGAGATACACAATTATTCATAAGAGATACACAACGGAGCATACTAGATACATAATGCAGCATAAGAGATACACAATAAAAATATATACACAATGTATCCTAAGATATACATAATGGAGCATAAGATATACACAATGGACCAGAAGAGATACATAATGGATCATAAGATATACCCAATGGAGCATAAGATATACACAATTGAGCATAAGAGACACACGGTGGAGCATAATATATACAATGGATAGCAAGATATACACAACGGAGCATAAGAGATACAATTGAGCATAATATATACACAATTCATCATAAGAGATACACAATGGAGCATAAGAGATACACAATGGAGCATGAACGAGGACTATAGAGACACAAGGGGGCATGACAGACACAATGAATCATAACAAAGACAGGGAACCATAAGAGATACACAAGGAATCATAAGAGACACACAAGAAGCATGGCCCAGAGCTATAGCGACATAAGGAATCATAACAGAGACACAAGGGATAATAACGTAGAGCTATAGAGACAATAATTCATTACAGAGATACAAGAAGCATGGTCCGAGTTATAGAGATACAATCACAACAGAGATAGGAATATCATGGTCCATGTCTATAGAGACATAAAACAGACAAGAAACGTGACCCAGGGCGATAAAAACACAAGAAATCAGAGACAATAAATATGGTCAATAAAACGTAAATCAAAACAGAGGCACGAGAAAGTTATATGCACATAGAAATACAATAAACTTAAAAACAGACACACCAACTGAAAAAATACAACATCCAATGGCAATAGAAAGACGAGAAATAAAACGAGAAACTTAAGAAACATCCCCCAATTAAATACAAGAAAACTAAAACTAGAAACTAAACAACATTCCCCAATGTAGTCTACAGGCATTGGTGTCTCTGTTGTTCGTTTTCGCTTGTTCTTACGTGTTTACCCATCAACTGTGTTGTTATTGATGGAATTATAATAAAATGATTTGCCCTTTTGGCTATAAAATAAAGGTGTTAAAATGTCGAAACACCAAATAAACACCTATTTCTATAATTCAATATCTTGTGACTGGTGAAAGGTCCCATAAATGTAACTGCTTAACCCGAGTTAATAATGGTTGATGTTTTGCATTGTCTTTGTACTGCTCGACTTTTGGCAGCCTTTGGTCTCGTACTGGTGAGATAACGCCAAACAAGTAAACCCGTAAAAACAAAGTTTTTCACTCTAAATCCTTTATATGCGTGGCGGCTAGAGTCCTCTCGTCCTCTGGCTTGAGATGGCTGCAATCTATGGGTCAGATGATTGTCTGCCAGTATTAAGCAATTGGTAATTAAATATTTAATTTGTTTTCCCTAAACAGTGTAAAATTTTGGAAAAAAAATTTCACGAAAATTAATTGTCACACAACGAGTCTGTGTGGAAAATGTCAGCTCGATTGGATCACGGGAAGTGGGTTAAAAAACGAGTGAAAGATTTGCACGGTCCTAAGCAAGCAAGCGAACTTAATATAAAGGATTTAAAATATATTCGCCTGTGGAGGACGCAGGGGTCGATCCCGCGACCTTTGGCATGGGAAGCGAGGGCGCTACCAACTGCACTACTCCGCCACGGCCTGTGGAGGGGTTACGCTCTGGGCTCCTATACTGTGACGTTCAGCCAAAGCCATGAATGAGTTCTATTTGAATAAATGTAAAATACATTTTTTTTTGCCTAAAAAGTGTAAAATTTTTGAATTTTTTTTTCACGAACATTAATTGTCTGTCACAACGAGTCTGTGTGGAAAATGTCAGCTCGATTGGATCACGGGAAGTGGGTTAAAAAACGACCGAAAGATTTGCACGGTCGTAAGCAAGCAAGCAAGCACGCAAGCAAGCAAGCAAGCGAACTTAATATAAAGGATTTAAAAAGAGGCTCTATTTGGCGTAGACCAATTCGTTTCAAGGACAGTGCATACATAATTATTAAAGGATATTTGTTTGCAAGTTCGGTATGTGTGGTTCATGCAGAATTTATGGCTTGTAATTGGTCTCTATTTGGTGTCTGAATATCTTGACACCTGTATTTATGCCAGAAAGACATTGATTCATCATTTAATTTCTTGATTATGGCAAAATGGTCCCATATAAGTTTTAGTGCTTGCATTTGCTGTGAAATAAATTGTTGTACTTTTAAATAGTTGAATTTCATACCACTTCCACAACAAAACAGAAAGCTTGTGACTATGGTATGTTACTGTTTTTACAAGATTTCTAGATTGTTATTGCTAGATTTCAAAGTGATTTTGCGTTAAACTTCCGATTAGCACGGTTTGCTACGTATGGTGCGAAATAATTTCACCATACATACTTTACAGCTTAAATGTTGAAAAGCAGATTTACAGTTTTTTTTTTATTTAGATGAAAATGAGGCTTTACTGGGGAAAATTTATGAATAAACGCCACCTAGTGGTGATAGAGTGCCCATTATTCGGTTTGGCAGTAAAGAGATACATTTTGACTTAAAACGTTCGTGACTGCAAACATTCATATTGTTGGGTTCTTTCGGTAAAGTCACGTAGATAGAAAAAATAATAACAATAAAAATAAAGTGAGCGTACTGGCAGTCTAAAATGTAGCAGTCTAAAATGTAGACTGTAGCCTGGTTTTTAAGCTGGTGAGCGTATTGGCAGTCTATAATGTAGAGTATAGCAATGGTTATTAACTGAACCTGAGTGAGCATACTGGCAGTCTATAATGTAGACTTATTCTGGTTCTTTCAGTAATAAAAATAAAATTTAAATAAACACAAAAAAACCACGACGTTTCGATCGCAACACAAGCGGTCGTCATCAGGAAAAGGGGGGTTAGCCTCTAAAGGCAAACTGTTTATAAAGGTTTAGAGATGGGCGTAGCCCAAGTGTGTCAGCAGCATGGGCGGGGCAGCTAATGTTAATGTAGGAGAAAAGACATGCAACTGCATCTACACAATCAAAGGGCCGCCAGGCAATCATTGCACCTCGCTCCACACACCCACACTGCTGACGGTGGAGGTTGACAAGAAAAAACACAAATCAAGTCATGACCCAAAGTGGTTGATGACATCTTTCCATTGGAAAGATGTCATCAACCAGCACCGCCCTGCAAGTTAGTAGTCTGCCAGTCGAGGGCGATGTAGCTATTGGTTATTCCAATTAACTAAGTTTGCAAGTAATAATTAAACTAAACGATTTTTATTTCACCGGGTAAGGCTATCTGAGCTATATAGCTCTTTTCAGAGGCGACCTGAGATGATAGCTCAATTAAGTGTATTATCACGTGGAAATGTATAGCAGCAAAATAATCTAAATGCACGTTTCTAAATGTGGAGGGAAAAATCGGAGGACCCGGAGAAAAATCCACGCGACCACGGGGAGAGAGACATGGAAATACCAAATATACAGGTGTACGGGTCTGGATCGACCCCACGACCTCCTGTATAGCAGAATAAATAGTTAACATCTCGCCACCGTGGCACCCCATGACACCGACACATGGCCAACGCTTTAAAAAAATGCCAGGGAATCTTTTAGGCCCATTCTTATGCAGATGGCATGTCTCTATAATAAATATAGTATCGACCAGTTCGGCTGGAGGCTTGAACTGCAACCCTCTGCAACAAGCGGCAAATGCACTACCGCTCGGCCACATCCACTTATTGTTCAAAATGTGCTATCCGTGGCGACGCGCACTCGAGGCCCATTGAGCTGTCGCCACGGATAGCGGGAGAACGAGGGGAGAGTCAGGGCAGCGAGAGGTGATGGGGCAGTAGTGTTCTTCATTGCAAGGCCCTACCCTGGGTCACTGGCGGGCCCTGGTGGGCCCTGGTGGCCTTTAGTGCGGCCCCTGACGTTCGGCCCCCGACAATACACAACGTGTGAAAACACCTCCCATCGTGCCCTCTAGAAATTAGTGAAGAACACTGTGATGGGGGTAAGACATTACTTAGTTTAACAGATATATTGTTTAACGAATGAGCTTATATATATATAAACAAGCCATTAAATACGTGAACATTGTCATAATAACACGCACCATATTTTAATTGGGTCTAATAAACATAAAGCAAATAAATATGAAAGTATGAAATAATACGGTAGTTATTTATGACGATGCTGTGCATCATCACTTTATCTCATCACTTTCTTTCACTCTCTTTCTCGATGCATTCCAGTAGTTCCAGATGCGATTTGCAGATAGAAAGTTTGTGACTAACGAGGGAATACTGGATTGCAACTTAACAGCATGACTTCCTTTCATCATTATAACATGATTGCATGGCTTGTTTGCTTGGTTCACACCTCCAGCTCACAATGAGTGTAATTAATTGGCGACAATTATGCATTGCTAGTTATACTTTTTTTTACATTGCCTTAGCATGACAGTTGTGCACAAAAGGCAGGCATTCAGAATCAGAATCTTTATTTATCCTGGAGGAACCCGATGAGCTATGAAGCTCTTTTCACATATGTCTAGTAGGGGTGAGTCAGCAAGTTACATTCCTAAACATCACCCACACATAGCTTACTGCTATGGTTCCGATTGCCAGTGGAACAAAGTGTACAATAGCGCAAGCTATAATACTGGTAGGAACCTCCTGGTTACACCAGCCCACAGGGGATTATTGTGTCCGCCCGTCGTGCAGGGAGGGGCTGGGTGGGGAGGGGCTGGGTGGGGAGGGTAGGGAGGGGCTGGGTGGGGAGGGT